GGCCGCATTCGTCTCTGTCAGTCCATAGCCTTGAATGCTAACACGCTCCATATCAGCAGTCATCGCCAAACTCGTCAACAAAACGACTTACATGGTAGCAGTAGGGAAGCGTTTGTGGACCTCTTCAGCCATACTTCTGGGGCACGGCGCGCCGCCATAGAAAACGCTATCGAGGGTGTTGTCTTGGGGAAGTTCCTTGGACTGGATGATCTGGCTCGCAATAGCGGGGACACTATCACTTCATTAGCACACCATGAAATCTTTCAAGTCATGACTCACCCTCCGACAGTATTGACTCCCTCACTCTTGATCAATTGCACAGCCTCTTTCAGGTCCCACTTGTTGCACGTCACAATCTTACTCCCGTTCGAAATCGCACGCAACAACCACGAGAGACAGCCAGTCACGTGGAAAAGAGGAACGGACAGGAGCGTGACTCTCGGAGGCATAGCTGCGATCTCTGCAGGGGTGGGAGGGCGTTTTCCTTGTCGTAAAAGGTTACGAGCCGTGGCAATGGAGCCAGAGAGGGAACTGGAGAGTGCTGCTCTTTGGGTGCTGAGGACCGCTTTGGGAGCGCCACTCGTTCTGATGGAGACCATCAGCTCAATTTGACCAATCTCGGCTTTGAGTACTTACCCTGAAGAGAAGAAGATCATGCCGTCACTCTCCGGTCCAAGCTCCTCTAACCCTACCCCATCCATTACTTCTTGTACACCTCGCGCGTTTGGTGCGTTGTAGATTTCCACGATAGATGGAAGGTGGCCCGACTCGCTCCAGCAGTACATCTTATGAAGTCTGTCAATGAAGAGCTCATGGTACTGACATTCAGACTCACCGGAGGTAGACCAGTCTCCCGGATATGCGCATACGGGCTCAAAAGTTCAGCCCGGTCCTCGTCCAGTAGTAGCAGTTTCGAGTCGACCAGCTTGATCAGATAGACAAGCTGTTCACGGGGTCTTATGATGAGCAGTCAGCACCCCACTCCTTCTCAGAAAAGAAGACGACTAGTGAGCTTACAACCAAGCATTGAGGCACACAGGTACTGCTCCAATAAGGTGGATCGCCGTGAAGGAGACGATCCACCTGAAAACGACCTTCAGCTGTAGCCCCTTGCATATCACAAGAACGCACTCACCCTGAGCAGTTTTTGCCCCCAATAACGACCTTGTCTCCAAGCTTGATTCCCCTGTTCCTCATCCACGCCGCAAGCTTTGCAGCTCGGTCAAGCGTCTCGCCAAACGTCAAGTACTCTCTGGCCTTCACCCCCGTCTCATCGTCAGAGGCCAGAGGCGGGAAAGGCTCTCGTCTAGGAAGAGGAGCAGAGATGAAGGTGCGATCCTTGAATCTGCCATAATTGTACAGGATGTATGCTCGAAAGTGTGGGGGTTGCTGTAATAGACGATTGGGGAAATCAGTGCCAAGATCTCTTTTTTTGCCGTTATGGGGAGGAAACCTACGTTCTTCCATACTTTGATACGCCTGCCAAATATCACTTTTTCCTCAGTCTCCATAGGTGACCCAGGCTGGGTCAGGATACGGTCGCCTTACTACATGTCAGCTCATCTGCTGACCAGCCGTTAGCAATGACTCACATTCCTCGATACTGAGCTGTTTCTGGCTCATGGTAGACCTGTCGAGACGAAAGGGGCTGGTAAAAGTGGGTTCTATATAGTGCCAGCAAGTGGATACCCTATTATAGTCGGCGCATTAGCTGGATCTACTAAAACTCGCGATGTTATCGTTACGAGACGGATGGCCGATCCAGCAAGCGTTTCTTTTCCGGGTGCGGTATCCAGGCACACCCGGTGGACATCTCCTTCGTCGGCCCCCGCCATCGTTCTGCGATCTTTTCGGTGCGAGGGTTCGTCCAACATGAGTCCACATGTGTGTGCAGAGTGTCACAGCCCAACATCCAGCTATATGATTGCCACTGTTTTGAGCTCGCACAGCGCTCGTCAAGAAGTCTGATGGTAGTCAAGTCGTACGCCAGTAGTCCTCGAAAACGACCATCAATTACTTTACGTTGCAGGACCTATCGCAGTCCACCCCTTGTGTAATCCCTGATACATGCAAGAGTGGCGCGATACAAACATATCTATACAGTACATACGCTGATAGACGACGCATATTGGGCATATAATTGCCCGATGATTACCAGACGCTACGAAGCGCAATAGTCTCATCACTTCACTTCACATTTTGGCTTGTTCGTCAACTTGCTTGATACCATTCCTTCTGGCCCATTCTTTGCGAGCAATGTCTCTGATCTCTCTTTTGACAATCTTGCCATTGACGTTTCTCGCTGAAGATTCGTCAGCAGACTAGTCGCCCATATACCAGCGCACAACTCGACTCACGTAAATCAAGCTCTTTCCAAATCATCACCATCACCGGTACCGCATGCTTGGCCAGCTTTCCACGGGCATGCTTGATGATATCCTCCTCAGTGACTTTGACCTTTCCTCCCTCGCCCGTCTCTGAAGCTGTGGCGCGGAGGGTGAGGGCGGCGCCGACGGTCTCGCCGAGGATCGGGTGAGGAAGGGCGATGGCGGCTACTTCGTCAACGTGAAGGTGAGAGGTGAGGGCATTTTCGACATCCTGCGATGCGATCTGCATAAGTCGAGATCAGTCAAGGTTTTGTGATGCAAAAGAAGAGCGAACGTACGTTCTCGCCGCCTCGTATAATGAGGTCCTTGACTAAAGTACCGCGTAAGCTATCTGCAATGACGAGAAGTGTTCTATCCTCTCACTTCTGTCCTTCATATACAGGAATCCTTCCTCGTCAAGACAACCCACATCACCAGTGTTGAACCAGCCTTCATCGTTAATCGCTTCCCTTGTTGCTTCTACATTAGTCATTGCATGAGCGACTTCTCGCCGGTAGGAGAGAAGTGAAAGAAGACATACTCTCGTTGTTGTAGTAGCATTTCATGACGTTGACGCCTCTGAGAAGTACAACACCATTCTGCCCAACCCGTACCTCTTTGAGGGTATCGGGGTCCGCAATTTTGACCTCACTCGTAAAGACTGGCAGGCCAGTGCTTTCAGGCTGTCAACCAACATCAGCTACACTCGTGCGAGCCATTAATACTGACTCGATCGAGGTAGTCTTGTCCAGCAATTGACACGGCTATTGCGTTGGTCTCTGTCAAGCCATATCCCTGGCTCCTGGAAAAGCATTAGTCCATTGCCTTGACGACGACGAGGAGGGTCTGCCCACAGAGCTGCATTGGGGAACCGGTTCGAGATCTGCGACGCCAAGCCCTTGCTACAAGGCGCTCCGCCGTAGAAGACGCCGTCTATCGTTGTATCTCGAGGTAGATCCGGAGACTGCATGATCTGGCTGGCTATCGCAGGCACTCTTGTAGCACGTCAGCTCGCTAAGGTCACAGATTTGGGAGACGTCACTCACCCGCCTATGGAAGTGATCTTCTCCTTCTGAATCAATTGCACAGCCTCCTTGATGTCCCACTTGTCAGACACCACGAGCGTATTGCCGAACATGATTGACCGAGACAGCCATTGCAGACAAGCCGTCACATGGAAGAGCGGGACAGAGAGTAGAATGGCTTTTTGGGGCTCGGCGGCAGTTTCTTCGGGAGTGGGAATGGGAAGACCAGCTCGAAGAAGGGCGCGAGCAAAGCCTACCATACCGGATAAGGCGCTCGACAATGAGGCTCTCTGGGTACTGAGGACAGCTTTAGGAACACCACTCGTGCTAGAACGGATTCAGCTTCCTTCACTACGATCCGGCTCTCGATACTCACCCAGAAGAAAAGAAGATCATACCGTCGCTCTCCGGGCCGAGCTCTTCTAGCCCTCCGCCGTCCAAGATATCCTGGACGCCTTGAGGGTTAGGAGTGCTGAGGACTTCAATTATAGATGGAAGGTAGGTCGTGTCGCTCCAACAGTACATCTAGGCAGATCATCAGTACTAGCTCTTTGTCATGACTAAAGCACCAGACATACAGGCGGCAATCCAAACTCTGGGATGCGCGTGTAAGGGCTAAGTATTCGGGCTCGGTCTTCGTCCAGGAGAAGCAGCTTTGAGTCAACTAGCTTGATCAGGTAGACCAGCTGCTCCCGAGGTCTCGGAATCTGTCAGTCTTTCATTACTCTTTGCAATAGGGCGAAATCAGTCTCACAGCCAAGCATTAAGACACACAGGTACTGCTCCGAGAAGGTGTATGGCGGTGTAAGATACGATCCATCTAAGTACACAATTCAGCCAACGACCCACATTTTATCTTCTGAAGTACTCACGGCGCACAGTTCTTGCCTCCAATGACTACTTTGTCCCCAAGTTTGATCCCTCGGCTCCTCAGCCAGGCCGCAAGCTTTAGACCTCTATCGAGAATCTCCCCAAAAGTCCAGTACTCCCGGGCATCGATGCCAATGTCGCCTTCTGCCAGAGGCGGGTAAGGTTCCCTTCTAGGGAGCGGAGCAGAAACGAAAATCTTGTTCTTGTGCTTTTCGTAGTTGAGGAGGATCCACTCTCGGAAATGCGGCGCTTGCTGCCGGCGGATCGTCAGCGCAACGACGGCCGGAGACGCAATATGTGCTCACATTCTTCCATACTTTGGTACGCCGACCAAAGATGACTTTCTCTTCAGTCTCCAGAGGCGACCCAGGCTGAGACAAGAGACGATGACCTGCACATCTGTCAGCACAGTTGCGCTCCATCGTCCCGGCCCAGTGGTAATGTCAAGCTCACATTCCGCTATACTTAGCTGTTTCTTGCTCATCTTGATAACATATGGGGGGCACCATCGAGAAAGACCATGGCTCAGCTTATATGAGGGCGCGGTGGATCCATCGTGTGAGCATCTGACCTGATGAAGATGGTTTACGAGATGGTACGGATGACCGACCTCCAAACCTAGGCACTCCCGTGATATTTAGCTTCTTCGTCTTCGGCACTTCTATTATTCGGGCCCCGGCCCCGTGCCGAAGGAGAAGAACAATTGCATAGATACCAGACTTTGCAGCAGCTCCACATAGCCTTCTATACATGTGTACCGGATAGCTAGCTATCTTAAGTCAAGACAACACGACAGCTTATAAGAAATCCTTGCCCTCTACTCCTTGTCTCACCTGTTCATCGGTTTCATCGTATTCCAAATCTTCAGTAAAAGGCGATTGTGCCATGGGTGTGTCTTCGGAGCCATCGGCGTCAAAGACTGAAGACATATTGGTAGTGACGGTATCCTATAGCTTCTATCAGCTCCGGTACTCGGCAAACAAGCAGATGGACTCACAGCAGTGTATTTGCGTTGTGGTCTCGCCCTTGCAGAAGGGTCCACCTCTAGCTGCCGAACAGCTTCCGTCAAAGTCTCAACCAAATTGAAATGCTGTATAGTCTCTTGTACCGACGGCAAAGGATGCCCACCACACATGCTATCTGCAAGAGCCTTCCATTGCGGGTCTTGCATCGCTGAATTGACGAATTGCTGGAACTCCTCCTGCCGCGAGCCAGAGGCGAGACCTTCAACTTCTTCCGACATACCGCTAAGACCAGATAGCATAGAAGCCTGCGCCTTGCGCGGGAGAAAGCTCAGCGCTTCTTGTGCCCAAACTGTGACTTGTTCGACGTCATCTGCCCCCTCCACTTCACTCTCAAATTGCGCGGCAAACTCGGGATCAGTGAGGGTGGAAAGGAGGGATCTGTCGCCATGGTCGTCGAGCCAGAATTGGAGGATGGCGGCAGCACCTTTGGATGGCTGGCGGTCAGAGTAAGGTGGAGGGGTGGATGAGGTTGGGATAAGGCGAGGGTCGTTGACTTCGGAGCCATCGTCAGACATTTTGGAGTGAGGTGAGTGAAAAAATCGGATGTGGTATGAAGAAAATTCGTGAGTCGTGAAGATTGGACTTACATATATGATTGTGCTGGACGGTATCGCCGGCAGCTATTCTGAATGCTGCGGGCAAAGACCGTGAGTTCTTCGGAAGGCTTGATCCGACACTTTGGAACTCCTGAGACCCAAAGGAATCTTTTGTCGGGTTGTCAATCTTTAGGCTAAGCGGACTTGGCGTAGTCAGTCCCCATTTGCGGAAAGTTGTGATATGTTGGAAGACTGAACCAAGCCTTCTTGGCCGAACCTTTGACTTGACGAGGAAGGGCCCAAGGTCCTTTGTACAGATGGCTGACCTTTTCTGAGCGTGGACCACATGTGGACGAGAGATCTAGTAGAGTGAAGTCTTAAGAAGCTGTTATATTTATTAGCTATTCCAAGCACCGGATATTGCCAAAGAATTAGATGTTGGACGAGAAAAAAGAAGACCCTCCCTGTTTGACGTATCCACAACCCCGCTCATCGAATTCGAACGTTCCAAGGTAGATGTGCATGAGTCACGGTCGAAGCACTCGCGACTAATGCAATGATTCTATCGAGTTAGTCATCAAGCCTTCTCTCCCTCGCTAGATAATGAGGTCAGAGGGGCAGGCTGAGCCGGAGGAGGCACCGCCGACCCCTTCAGTTCCTCTACAACCTTCCCCGTCGCCCCTGATCCAGCAGCAGCAGGCGCAATCGGTGTCTCTTGAACACTCGACATACCAACAACAGCAGCCTCCTTCTCCTTATCCAATACCATCTGCTTTTCACGTCGTTCTCTCCACTTTCGAATCTCGGTTTCGCTGGCAATCTTGCCTTCGAGGGCGAGGGCGTTACGCGCTTGGCGTCGGAGTTCGTTTTCTTCGGCACGCATGCCGTGTTCGAATCGGAGTAGGTGATCGTCTATTTGAAAACATCAGAATAGGAGCATTGGGAATATAGCGTCCAGCGTACCGGCTCCGATGACAAGGCCGCACATGGTGGCTATATAGCAATCAGCGCCCAATGGTAAAATGGGTGGCTATATGCCCACCTGAACTTGTGATGAATGCTTTCAGACCCAACGTTTGTCTCCTGCCGTCCCAGAACGAAATGATCAGCTTTCTGCTCTGGCGTTCAGGGAAGATCACTCACGCGAACACGGGCCATGTATAGTGACCAACGACACAAGCAAGAGCTCCACCTATCGTCCACTTGATGGCGCCCTGTCGTAAATGAGCTAGTATACGAGATTAGTTGAGGCGGAGCATACCTCAACACCACCAGCAAACTGGATTTCATACTATCTGGTCGTCAGTCGGGCAGATATCGGACATCGGAGCACTTACAGCGCGCTGCTGGTGAGCCTCTCTTCTCTGCCTCTCTGCTGCTGATGCTGACTGGGCCATTGTGTGATGGGATTACTGGAAGAAGAAGAGTTGTTTCTGGTTTACCTGATTTGTATTGCCCAGTGGACAATTTGTATTCACGTCGACAGCCATCGGGCGACGGGCGAACACGTCCGAAGCGCAAAACCAAAACCAAATAAGACGGGCAAGGCACGCACCACGTGATATTACATAAGCAAGCCATTGGCGTGCTTCTTCTTGGCTTCTTCTTCCACGGCGGGAGCCGGCAGCGACCAGCGATGCGATTCACACTCATTTTTTTGGACCTCAACCCAAATCGGCTTGAATTATTGAAATCCAGCAGCTCATCCAACATCTATGGCACGAGCGCTTACTTTTCCGACGGAACACTGGCCGACGGCCTTACTTGCTTGCTCATCATATATGTACAGGTACCGACCAAGCTGCCGTCCTTAATAATCTTGTTTGGTTCCAATGCAGCCCATTATTCATCAGGCCTTCCTTCTCGGGGGGCCGAAGCTTCATTGACAGTCGGCAATGTACGGTATAAAGGTCTATTTGGTTATGCAGAATGCCCCACCACATTAACATCTTTCTGTCTATCATGTCTCCTCAATCGAAGCTATTTGCCCCCACCACCGTCGGCGCTCTCGAGCTCGACCACCGCATCGTCATGGCGCCCTTGACCCGATTCCGTGCCGGTGCGGACGGCGTACCTGCTCCTGACGCCGTCAAGTACTATGGTCAGCGTGCTTCAAGTGAGTGTCTATGCCACCTGGATTGAATGTCAACTAACAGCGAGAACAGAGGGCGGTCTGCAAATCACTGAGGGTAGCATCATCTCCCAGGAAGCTGGCGGCTACCCTCACGTTCCAGGCCTCTGGTCCAAGGAGCAAATCGAAGGTTGGAAGCCTGTCACTGCGGCCGTGCACGCCAAGGGCGGTAAGATTGTGGTTCAACTGGCTGCTCTCGGGTACGTTCTTCACCAAAGGGGAGATACAAGATGGAAACTGACTCGGGTATAGACGAGTCGCGGACCCCAAAATTGTTGACAAGGTCGTTGCTCCCAGCGACATCCCCCTCCCTGGAGGTCCTCAAACTCTTCACGTCCTGACTGAAGAGGATATTGACCGCTATGTCGAGAGTTTTGCTCAAGCTGCTCGAAACGCCAATGAGGCTGGGTTCGATGCCGTGGAGGCACACTTTGCAAGTGGCTATGTAAGTCTCACTGCCGCTCCCTTAGAGTAGGATGACTGACCGCCATCATTCCCATAGCTTGGCGACCTGTTCGCAAGTGTCTTTTGATCACACAATCTGATATACATTGACACCATCTTCAGATCCAGACCGTCAGCAACAAACGTACCGATTCTTACGCCGCGTCGACCTTCAAATTTCCCCTCCGAGTTATTGAAGCCTTTTCCAACGTAGTCGGTGCCGACCGAGTTGGTCTCAAAATCTCTCCCTTCAGCGACTTCCAAGGAATGCGCGAAGCCAAGCCCCTCGACACTTTCGTTCCTTTGGTGGACAAGATTCTCGGTGCTTACCCTAAGCTCGCCTATGTCCATGCTGTCGAACCTAGAGTGAACGGCTTCGACATCAAAGAAGATGTCGGTGATGATACCCTTGAGCCCATCAGGCAGCTCGTCAAGGAGAAGGGGCAGGGCACCAAGTTCATCGTGGCTGGTGGTTATACGCCAGAGGGTGCTATCGCCCATGCTGAGGCAACTGACGACTTGATTGCTATCGGAAGGTACTTTATCTGTGAGTTTCTACTTTTCCTGACTCGCCTACCATCTGCTGAGAACCGGGAAGCCAACCCCGACATGGTCTACCGCATCAAGAACGGATACCCCTTGGGCGAATATAACCGTGACACTTTTTACAGCCCAGGTCCTGTCGGATACATCGAGTAAGTACCAGCCTTGCACGGTTCAGACGGATAGCTGATGTAAGCTGCTCAGCTACCCGGAGTACAATGCTATCAAGCAAGACCACGGTGCTGACGCGATCGCTCCCGCCACAGCTTGAGCCGATTGAATTATCTTGCGGTGCTTAGAAATTATACACCATCCGTAGATGTTTCTAGATCTGCTACTTCATTCCTTATGCAACGGTATACTAAAAAGTCTGCTCACAATCTGGCGATCAATGTCATCCACGCTCATCGGCTAATGGAATGTCTGGCCTTCGCGCGAGCCATGCAACGATGATATAATAATTTTCTGAAGAGTGGAATACCTCAGTCGCACTATTGCATAGAGGCAAGAAGAATTGAGCAACTATCTCGTTATTGCATAAGGCAATGGACATCGACGAAGCCCACACAACTGATCGACGCGCTTAACATGATTCTAGTTCAACAGTGAGTGTCTCCGCCGAGTGGCGACTATTACGCTACGACGACTGTATCAGCTGCCAGGCGTGCCCTCTTCCTTCTCTTTCGACCTGTTGTGAGACTCGAGAGGGCCTAAAGCCGCATGTATCTACAATTACCCATCCCCCCGGGCGGAACGAAAAACGCGGGCGGAACGAAACATAACATGCTTGGTCGGCACTCTCAAAACGATTTCTCCACAACGGCTCAATCGATCTGCATGCATAAAGCTCGAGGGCATTCCTGAGAAGGTCCTCTATCTTCTAGGTATATCGCGAGGTATGCATGCGTTGTTTCGGATGTGCAATGAGGAAAACGCGGAGAATATGTGGTTCTTGGATTCTGACCGGCTTTTTCTTTCATTGACACTCATGCATGTTCGTCTTTGAGTTTCATGTCATACCAACCATCCTGTAGATCCAATCCATAGCTTTCTTACCATACTTGTCGCACTACTGAATGTGACCTGTAGCATGCACAATGCTTGGTCAAAGCTGACACCTCCTCTTTTGGCCGGTGTGATTTGCGGTCGACCTCCACCATGACCCGATACCACTCTGGTGCGCGCCCCATCTGTTTTTGCATCTACTTACCTTTCACACTTCTATGCAGGCCACATTGAGCAACCAAACACGTACCGTTGGAATCGTATAGTTTCTCGCTACAGATCTGCTGATACTATATGTGATCTACAGGCGAATATGCATGGGCGTTAATGACACAAAAAAGCCAGTGAAAATCCGCGACCCAAAAATTTGGCGCGTTTTCCTCATTGCACATCCGAAACAATGCATGCACACCTAGCGATATACCTAGAAGATAGAGGACCTTCTCAAGAATACCCTCGAGCTTTATGCATGCAGATCGATTGAGCCGTTGTGGAGAAATCGTCTTGAGAGTGCCGACCGAGCAATTTCTGTTTCGTTCCGCCCGCGTGTTTTGTTCCGCCCGCGGGCCCCGTGAGGGGCGGCTTCAGTCTTCCCTGGCCGGGTAGACCCCGCGGTGCCGGTGTCGGTCTCGCACTAAGACCGAGGCCGGACCTGTTACATAATGAGATCCCGTGCTTTGTTATTGCTTATTGCTATTGCTTGCTCATCCGTTGCTGTCTCGATGATTCAGCCCGGTGGAGGCATTGTGGAGGCTGACCACAGCAGCAACAGCCATCCATCGTTGTAAAAACGGCTCACAATGTCAATCGCTGTCCCCCACCGCACTTTGTTGTCTTGTTCACCATGTCGCCCCAATCAAAGCTCTTCGCTCCTATCACCGCCGGCTCTCTCCAGCTCGACCATCGTATCGTGCTCGCGCCCATGACCCGGTTCCGTGCTGGCAAGGAGGACGGTGTGCCTTCTGCTGACCACATAAAGTACTATGAGCAGCGTGCTTCCAGTGAGTGTCTTGACTACTTGAACATGACATCGATTGACGATGCCAACAGAGGGTGGTCTTTTGATCTCTGAGGGCACCTTTGTCTCCAAAGAGGCTGGAGGATATCTCTCCGTTCCGGGGCTCTGGACTAAAGAGCAGATAGAGGGCTGGAAGCTCGTCACTGCCGCCGTTCACGCCAAGGGCGGAAAGATCGCGGCTCAGCTTTGGGCTCTAGGGTACGTTGGTACTTCCGGAGTGTTCAAATACTGACTCTCCTGCAGGCGTGTTGCCGACCCAAGCAATGTAGACAAGGTCGTTGCCCCCAGTGATGTTCCCCTCGCTGGAGGCCCCCAGACTCTCCACGTCTTGACTGAAGAAGATATAAACCGATTTGTCGAGAGCTTTGCTGAGGCCGCTCGGAACGCCGTTGAAGCCGGGTTCGACGCAGTCGAAGCACACTTTGCCAACGGCTATGTGAGTTTAGATATACTCGTCCATTGGTACTGTTGTTGACCATACCCTCTCTCAAAGCTTCCTGACCAGTTCGTAAGTGTCCTCTTCAATCACCCAGGTGGACATGCGTTAATGCCATCCTCAGATTCAATCCGTCAGCAACAAGCGTACCGACTCTTACGCCGCCTCCACATTCAAATTCCCTCTTCGTATCCTCGATGCCTTGACCACCGCCATTGGCCCCGAACGTGTTGGATTCCGAATTTCGCCCTACAACACTTTCCAAGGTATGCGTGAAGCCAAGCCCCTTGATACTTTCGTCCCCTTTGTCAACAAAGCCCTCGATGCTCACCCCGCCCTCGCTTTCGTCCATGCTGTCGAACCCCGAGCCGATGGGTTTGACGTGAAGGATGACGTGGGAGAAGATACACTCGAACCGATTAGGCAGATCATCAAGGAGAAGGGGAAGGGCACCAGATTCATTGTGGCGGGTGGTTTCAAGCCCGACAGCGCTATTGCGCATGCCAATGCCACTGATGACTTGGTGGCTATTGGGAGGTACTTTATTTGTGCGCTTTCCTCTTTCTTCAACTCGTTTACCTTCTGACAATGTGGAAGCCAACCCCGATATTGTCGCACGTATCAAAAACGGCCACCCCCTCGCTGAGTACAACCGTGATACGTTCTACAGCCCTGGTCCTGAGGGATACACCGAGTAAGCATAATGGGTGTAATGTTTCGATCAATGGCTGATATGCGATTGATAGCTACCTCGAGTATAATGCGATCAAGCAAGACCATGCGGCTGAGGCAGTTGCCCCTGCGATCGCTTGAGTCCGCGCAGATGTAGCCAATCTATCCTATACTATGGTTCTTCAAACAGACATTGTTTGGCGGTACTTCAGGCTTTTTGTAGATATTTAGATCTCATCCACAATCATGAACTATTGTATCTTGCTTCCCGTGAGCTCGAAACGTTTTTGCATATGCCTGCAAAGCGTAAATCCATTCATCTATCAGATCGTACAACAAGAAAGACCACCACAATAATCCGAAAAACCAAACATGAAATAGGGTATATATATGCTCAAGACCATCCACGATCACCCTACGACTGTCCCTGGCGTGCTCGGATCTTCATTTTCCTCAGCATGCGCCCTGACGACATTCACAGGTTGTCTCCGGAACGCGGGTGTTGCTGGTACAGCTCCGCTTCCGACAGATGGCGTTGGGGGCACGTTTGCAGGACGTTTGGGACGAGCTTGGAGACGCAGGTCTTTGTTCTCGATCGCAAGACTCTTCGTGCACTATTGCAAAAGTCAATTTCAATGACTATCAGAGGGAAAGTGGAGGCACGTACGTTATCTGTCTTGTAGATACCGACCAGACGATGAGCGAGTTCGAACATGTCATTACGGAGTGAAATGACAATGCTATCAAAAAGTCAGCGTTGTCCCATCTCGGTTCCAATGGAGCTACTTACAATTGCGCGGCCTGAGTTTTTGACTGGATGTAGTTGGCTACAATCGAGACGTTCTTGAAATCCAGCGCGGCATCAATTTCGTCCATAAAGTAAAGCGGTGTGGGTTTGAAGACATGCAGAGCGAAAACGAGGGCAAGGGAAGCGAGGGTCTTTTCACCACCAGACAGGTTGGCGATAGCCCGCCAAGACTTTTTAGGAGGCATGATGGACAAGACAACACCTGTAGATGGTCAGACGTGGCAAGTAAGACAGTGAAACGGGACGCACCTTCGGAGAACGGATCCATACTGTCGATCAACTCAATCTCGGCATTACCGCCCATCGTGATCATCTATAACGGCGATGAGTACCATCTCTGGACCGTCATACAGTTACTCACCTGGTACATTTCCTTCAACTTGGCAGTGATGGCCGTAAAGCCCGCCATGAACTCATCCAAACGAACCTTGCGCAGGTCGTCGTACCTCGCCTTTGCGGCATCGCGACCACCAGTGACACGCTCGAGGTCCTTGGCTCGGTCGAGGAACTCGGCTTCTCGGCGTCGGTATTCGGCGAGGATGTTGAGATTTGGTCGAGCTTTACTTGTCTCGTCTGTATCTAATGAGCACTACGTCAGATGAAGAAGGTAAAAGACATACCTTCAAGAGCAGCAATCTCGGCGCTAAGCACTGCATTGTCCACATCCATCAATTCGTCAGGCGAATACTCTGCAAGCTCCATGCTGTCTTGATGCTTCTTCTTGGCGGGCACCTTCTCCTTCTTTGCTTTGGGCTCTGCATCTTCCTGGGCGCCTTCGGCGTCTTCGGCACCTTCATCTTCCTCAACGGGCTCGGCAGGCTGATCCGTGTCCTTGGGCTCACCCTCACCGCCTTTTTCCTCGTCCTCATCTTCCTCACTAACAACTGGTTAGTCAAGTACACGGACAAACGTATACACTCACTCGATATACACCAGTTCCAAAGTTTCGTGCCTCTTCAGCCAGTGCTTGTACTTGTCTTTGCTGTCTTTCTGAGACCTTGTACTGTCATCGATTTTCTGCTTGAGTTCCATCTACAGCAAAGTCAGCTCATTCACATCACACAAAATTGCGGCTCACCTCGAGCGCCCTGAAGGCGTTTATCCCTTGCATCTTCTCATCCAATTCCTGCTTGCTCTGCTCCAACGCCTCCTTCACATCCTCGCTGGAGTCCACGGCCTCCTGAACCCTCTCTCTCAGAGTCTGCAGATCCGCCGTACAACTGGCTAGATCAGCTTCCACCTGCTCCAGTTCGCCCTCCACCTCCTCCAAGGTGGTTTGATTCTTGATGATGGCCTTGCCCAGCTTTTCCACATCACGCTCGGCTTTGGCTTGTCCGACTTCGGCTTTGGTGATGGCGTCGTTGGCGAGGTCGACGAGGCACTTGGTGGTGGCAACCTTGGACTGTATAGCACGCAAACGCACACCACCGACTTCGAGAATCTTTTCCTGGAGAGATTTGAGCTCGTCGTTGATGGCAGATGACTTTGTGCGGAGCTTGTCAGTCTCCTTTGTCAAAGAGGCGATTTCGGCATCGAGTTCTTTGATGCGCTTCTCATCAGCCGCTATCGGCTTGCTCTCAGACCTGACACCTGTTTAGCTTTTGTCATGGGCTACCAAGCAGTGGACTCACTGCAGCTCCGCCAACCTCCTTTCAGCTTCCTCCACTCTCTTTCCAGACGTAGCAACATCCAGCTCAATCTTGCTCATCTCCATCTCGATCTGCGGCAGCCTCTTCTTCCACTCTTGTAGCTCCGCCACCACCGCCTTTCTCTCCTCCTGCGCTTTCGCCAGATCTGCCTCGGCAGCCGCCGTGTCTTGTTCAAGCTTAGCGACGACTTCCGGCGCAACCTTGTCGGCTTTGAACTTGGATGACATGCCGCCTCGAGCGACGCGGTTACCACCACCAGACATGGTACCAGAGGGGTCGATCAACTGTCCACCGAGGGTCACAACTCGCCATCGCTGCGAGCTGCCAAACCCGATTCGCTGTGCTTGCTCGAGGTCATTGGCAACGAGGGTGTTGCCCAGTCCCTTGAAGAATGCCGGGGCAAATTTGGCGTCCTTGGGCTTGATGAGGTCAAATAACCTGGGGACGTTCTCTGGAGTCTGGATAGCAGCAGGAACCCTAGCAGGAAGCTTCTCAAGCACCATGATATTTGCTCGCCCGATATTGCCCTTTCGCAAAAAGTCGATACAAGCTTCACCCTGCTTGACCGTGTCAACAATCAAGTTGTTTAGCGTGGGACAAGCAGTGGTGACGGCGACATCGTACTTGTCGTCAATGACACCGAGATCACCGAGTCGGCCGTGGAAGCCCTTGATACGGCCTTGATCGCGGAGCTTGTTGAGACTGCTAAGAACAGCGTTCTCGCTCCTGTCGGCTGCCATGGAGGCCTTGGCTTCATCGGCCTTGTGACGTGAGTTTGAGACTTTGGCTCGGACTCCTTCCCATTTGCCGGTAAGTTCCTGTTCCATAGGTCAGCGAGTGATGCAAGAATAGCCACTATACGCACCTCGAGTTTCGCCTCGCCATCGGCAATAGCCTTCTTGACCCTTACAGCCTCCTTCTTCAACCTCGCGTAATCCTCATGCTTGCCCTCCCCACCCTCTTTCAACGACTTGAGATTCTCCCTAGCTTCGTCCAAAGCACCTTGTTTAGAGGTAGCCTTCTCAGCAAGACCATCGCGATGGGATGTTGCGACGTCGATTTGACCTTGCTTTTCGCGGATTTGGTCGTTCCAGGGTTGGAGTTCGCGTTGCTTGGCTTCGATTTGGGTGGTAAAGACGGAAGTCTTGTCTGTATATACGCGTCAGCACTGCGCCCTTCAGTGATGGTATCGACTCACCTTTCAAGCTCTCGACGATTTCCTCGTGCTCGGCCTGTTCCGCCTCAAGCTTCTCTTCGAGTTCTGCTACCTTTATACGGTTCTTTTCCAATTGCTCGGTGCAGTTCTCAATAGTCGCTTGAGCCTCAGACTTGGCGTGTCCATCCTACTCCCCGATTAGCGCTGCCCCAGGACGACGAAATGTAAGACTGACGTCTGTGATACTCTTCTTAATCTTCTTTTGCTTTGTGACCAGATGCTTCTTCCTCTCTTGTAACCCGACTTCCTCTTTCTCGATCTTCTTGGCCTCCTTGGTCAATGTATCCGTATGTTTCTTGACCTCAGCAAAAGCAGCGACTTGCTCGTCATATTCTTTTTGGAGAGCATCGATGGTGGCCAGATGGTCGGCATTGAGCTCTTGTTCCGAGGATAGTTGGGCGGTCAGGTTTTCCTGCAACCATGTCAGTACGGTTTGTAGTCGAGCACAGGATACGCACGATGGCTTTGGTGGTGATGTCGATGTTGCTTTGAAGAGTGTACATGTGCTTCTGATAGAGCAAAGACTTCTTTCGAGTGAGTTCGTTGGCGTTTCGAAGATAATCCTCAGCCTCCTGCTTCTTGCTCTAGCATATCATCAGCTCGTGCCCTCTTATTGACCAACGGCACATACTTCAAGAGCAGCCTTTTCTCGCTCAACAACCCTCAACCTATTCATCTTCTCTCCCCTCTCCTCATTCAACGCCTCCACTTCCAAACTTGCCTGCTCGATCGGCTCCTTATACTTTGTCGTCCCAATGATATCCTCCAAATACTCCAACAATCCATCCTCATGCTCATTTTGCGCCTTGGCTTTCATCTGGGCGATACTCTCGACTTCACCTTGCAAGATAAGGAATCGGTTGTGGTCGAGATCAATGCCTTTGCCTTTGAGGAGAGTGGTGACTTCGGTGAAGGTGCTGGGACGGTCGTTGATGGTGTATTTGGACGAGTTGTTGCGGAAGGCGGTTCGGTTGACGATGATTTGCGAGTTGGGCACGAGGAGGAATTTGTCAGACCCGGGCTAGCACACAGTCAGTTTCATCCTTTCCCAGTAAAACTGACGTACGAGATCAACAATCTCCCTGAACCACACCTCTACTGAACAGCTCTCCAATCCTTGATGCTTTGCCGAGTTGTGAATAAGCTCACTGAGCTTTCCCTGCCTCATCTTGCTCGCCCTATAACCAAACACGAAAAGTAACGCATCGATTGTATTACTTTTACCGCTTCCATTCGGCCCAACAATCGCTGAAAACGACTTGTGGAAAGGCCCAATCTCCTGTCGGCCGGCATAAGATTTAAAGTTGACAAGCACGATTTTGTGGATGGTCAACCTCGGCTTGGGGCCGGAAGGTGCTGGTGGAGGGGCAGGAGCCGGCTGTGAGAGGGGAGCGCGCTGGGGTTGGGAGGGTGTTTGGGGAGGGGGCATCTTGCTGGGCGTGCTGGGTCGAGGGGTACCATCCGCGGGCGCTTCAACATTGATCTCGGGGGCACCAGCAGCACTTGCACCCGCCCGAGGGGTCGCACTCTGCTCACGAGGAAGAGTCCGCGAATGAGGAGTCGGCGTAGCCGGTTCTGAAGGTGCGACGGTCCCTCGCTGACCTCGCAGGGCACTCTGCAGCTCTTCCTCTGCTTCATCCTCATCCTCCGATGTCATCTCGGGCGTCTTTGGTCTGGGTTTCGGAGCTGGGGCAGCCTTCTTGGATCTGCTTTTGGTTTTTGGCGGTGGCAACTCGAGCTCATCTTCAGATTCCGTGTGCTCTGTCTCAGAAGCGACGGACGCAACTGAAGCTCTCGCGCTTCGGCGTGCGGGGGCAGGAGCAGCCTTGGCTTTCGGCTTTGCTTTGCTTGCGCCTCTCTTGATCTTTGGCTTCACATCCTCTTCCACTTCCTCTTCCTCCTCTTCCTCATCGTCGTCGTGGCCCCCAGCAGCAGATACCGAGTCGAGGTCGTCCTCCTCGCCAGATACTTCTGGTGACGGCTCCTTCTTGGCCCGTGTCGATCTCTTCGCTGTCGTTTTGGTTGCCGGGGCTGAAGAAGCTGCCGGGGCTGCCCTTGTGGAGCGTCGTGGCGGCATGCTGGGTGGTAAAAGCGAATCCAACTATCCAAGAAGAGATTATCCTTCAGTTGTTTGTTGACACTCGACGCGTCGCGTCCCAAAAAGTCCCGTTCATGCGCGTAAGGGGGGGAGTAACTAAGACCAAGGTTACGTAATTACCCATTCATCTCTTTCCTCGCCGACAATCTGGTTATTGAGTTTGCATTTCCTATAACAATCCCGGATTTCCCCCAGATCCGTATACAAATCACGGGCAGGTACGACAGGGCACCTTCCAAGCAGTGATCACCCAAAAAACGGCTATTCAAAGCCCTCAAAACACAACAAGATGCCCCGCTCGCCATCTCCTTCTCGCTCTCCTTCCCCTCGTCGCTCCTACACCCGCTCTCCCTCTCCCCGTCCCAGAAGCGACACCGTCGATGACGCTCCCATCTCCAAGAGAAAAAGGTGAGTCTCCACACGCCAGGGGATGTTTGATGCTCATGTCTTACAGATCCCCATCGCCTAACCCGCGAGACCGTCCTGCCTCGCCCCCTACCCGTCGCCGACGCTCCCAATCGCCCCCTCGACGCCCAGCATCCCAGGCACTCGATGCTCCCCGAGTGAACGATGTCGATCCCGCCCGCCGTCGGGCTAGAGAACAAGCATTGCTGGAGAAGGAAATCAACCGAGAACTTGCCAAACCCAATGACGATGGCACGGTTGCGACCAGGCCGAATGCGGACGATGCTGCCAAGGCAGAGTTTGCCAAGCTCCTGGGATCTAGGAGTGGTGGTGCCTACATCCCCCCCGCAAGGCTGAGGGCGATGCAAGCAGAGGCGGCGAAGGACAAGAAGAGTGCAGAATACCAGCGAATGAGTTGGGATGCGCTGAAGAAGAGTATCAATGGTCTCATCAACAAGGTCAACGTTGCCAACATCAAGCATGTTGTTCCCGAACTCTTTGGGGAAAATCTCATCCGGGGCAAAGGTCTTTTCGCGAGGTCTATCATGAGAGCCCAGGCTTCGTCTTTGCCATTCACCCCTGTCTTTGCGGCTCTGGTAGCCATCATCAATACCAAGCTGCCCCAGGTCGGCGAGCTTGTCTTGATCAGGCTAATCAGTCAGTTCCGACGAGCCTACAAGCGAAATGACAAGGTACGTGTATGTTGACGTTTATGACTTTCGCCGCTGACTTTTCTTCAGCTTGTTTGCCACGCCACCTCCACCTTTATCGCCCACCTCTGCAACCAATACGTCGCTCACGAGATTGTCGCTCTCCAAATCCTCCTTCTCTGCCTCGACCGCCCCACCGACGATTCTATAGAGATCGCCGTCGGCTTTATGCGCGAGGTCGGCCTCTTCCTCTCGGAAGTGTCGCCCAAAGCCAACAACACCGTCTTTGAGAGATTCAGGGCAGTCTTGCATGAGGGCGAGATCAGCAAGAGGTGTCAGTATATGATTGAAGTGTTGTTCCAGGTCAGGAAGGACAAGTTTATGGACAACCCTTCGGTGCCTGAGGGTCTGGATCTGGTTGAAGAGGATGAGCAGATTACGCACAAGATCACGCTGGACGATGAGCTCAAGGTGCTTGAGAGTCTGAGTGAGTCATGATACATTTGCGTGGAGGACGGGCATTGACGTTTTTTGCAGATTTGTTCAAGGCCGACCCCAACTTTCTCCAGAATGAGGAGCGTTACGCCGAGATCAAGCGTGAAATCTTGGGCGACTCTGACGATGAAGAGTCTGGCGAGTCTGGTAGCGACGAGTCGGGCTCGGAGGAAGATGATGAAGACGATGTCGCGCCGGAGAAGCAGGGTATTCAGGATATGACCGAGACCAACTTGATCAACCTCCGAAGGACGATCTATCTGACCATCATGAACTCGGTACGTCCTTCCTCAATCTAGAGGTATCTCGCTGACATTCAACCAGCTCAACTACGAAGAAGCTGTCCACAAGCTCATGAAGATCAACATTCCTGAAGGGCGCGAAATCGAGCTCTGCAACATGATTGTCGAGTGTTGCTCTCAAGAGCGAGCCTACTCGAACTTTTACGGGCTTATCGGCGAGCGATTCTGCAAGCTGAACCGAGTCTGGACGGACAGCTTCCAAGAGGCGTTTGAAAAGTACTACGACACCATCCATCGATACGAGACCAACAAGCTGCGAAACATTGCTCGATTCTTTGGGCATCTGCTGGCATCGGACGCCATCTCATGGGCCGTCTTACAAGTCGTGCATATGAACGAGGACGAGACTACCTCTTCCAGCCGTATCTTTGTCAAAATCATGCTGCAGGAGATGGTAGAGGAGCTCGGTGTCAACAAGGTCGCCGAGAGGTTCCGTATCCCCGATTTCCGCCCCGCTTTCGCCGGCATGTTCCCGATGGACAATCCCAAAAACACTCGATTCTCCATCAACTACTTTACGTCCATCGGTATGGGCAAGGTCACCGAAGATATGCGCGAGTATCTTCAGAACGCGCCCAAGCTGCTTGCTGCCCAGCACGCGGCTTTGGCTGCAGAGGAGTCTTCTTCAGACTCTTCAGACTCGAGCTCTTCATCCGACAGCTCCGACTCTGACTCTGATTCGGACTCTTACTCTTCTTCGTCGAGTGGATACTCGCGTCGCTCTAGGAGGCGCCGTTACTCTTCCGAGTCCCGCTCTCCTCCCCGCCGACGCAGAGACTCCTACTCGCGCTCTCCTTCTTACTCGCGCTCTCCTTCTTACTCGCGCTCTCCTCCGCGCCGTCGCCGAGATTCTTACTCGCGTTCCCCTCCCCCCCGTTCGCCCCGATCGCCCCCTCCTCGAAGGTCGACCGGCCGTGGCCGCTCGCCTTCCCCTTCGCGTTCGGTGAGCCGGTCCCCGAGCCCGGCGCCTAGGAGGAGGCGGAGGGACAGCTTCACGCCGTCCCCCAGTCCGCCCCGGAGGAGGGACTCGCCTCCCCCGAGGCGGTTTGAGGATGAGGGTAGGAGTAGAGGTGGGCGAGGGGGGTATGGTGATCGGGAGAGGGACAGCGGGTATAGGAGGTGATGGGTTTGTTTGGTGATGGGAGGACGATGAGCGTGTTTTGTGAATATGTAACGGTACTGGGGAACGGTGAAAATGCATGATTCTTGACATCTAGACCTTCTTGCATCAGTAGACGGCGTGTCTCTTCCCCTAGCAGTGGCGCTTTATTGCATGCTGTCTATGACATGGCCTTTGTGTAAACAGAATCCCGCAAAGAGTACCGTCAACAAAGGTCTGTATGCCTTCGGACCACATGTGAAAGACTGCGTGGCTACCATCACCAAGTCACCTTATTTTAGCGTACAGATCGAAAGGATGGATGACATCAAACAGCAATCAAAGGGTGTCAGAGCCAGAGGCCTTCGTGGCGTACTCTACCTCCCGAAGAGTACTGCTACTAGTCAACTGTATCTCAACGTTAACACCAGCCACCCACTCAAGATGGCAAAGACCCACAAAACCAGCTGGCCCGGTCCCCCACGAGCCCCGTCCCCACCCTTCCCCTCTTCCAAGCGGATCCCCACCTCTCCTCGAAAGGTCTTTTTGCTCCTGGTAACAGCGGGGTTCTTCTCTTGGGCCATGTTGTACCTTCTCCCTATCCATTTGCCTCGACTATCATCTCCGTATTCATCCTCCTCTCAAGCAGGAAGTAGACTCCTCTCACCGACCAAGGTCGGTTCGCTGGACTTGAAGCATAGAGTCGTGATGGCGCCCATGACCCGCAACAGAGCTTCTGAAGACGGGATCCCTTCCGATTATACTGCGACGTACTACGAACAGAGGGCTACAGGTATGCATCCATTCTTATCCTTCTGCTCTTGTTCAAGAGCTGGACGGCTGACAAAAGCAAACGTAATGTAGATGGCGGACTGCAGATCACCGAAGGCACCATCATAGCCCCCGAAGCCGGCGGTCTCGCAAACGTCCCTGGGATATGGAACGCCCAACAAGTAGAAGCTTGGAAGAAGGTCACGGGGAAGGTGCATGAAAAGGGCGGGAGCATTGTCTGTCAGCTGTGGGCTTTGGGGTGAGTCCTCCCCTATAGCCCTTCTTCCTGTTGTTCTCTCCAACGTCGTTGAGTGGGAGAGAGCTGATTGCGAGAACAGGCGAGTAGCGGACCCAGCCCTCGTCCCCAAAGTATACGCCCCCAGCGACATCCCCTCCTCCAACGGCTCTCGAGACCTCACAGTCATGTCCGAAACCGACATTGATCGCTTCGTAGAACATTACCGCAAGGCGGCTGTCAACGCTGTCGAAGCAGGGTTCGATGGTGTTGAAGTGCATATGGGTAATGGTTATGTAAGTAATCACATTTCTCTTGAATTGTGTGGTGTGGCATGAAGGGGAGAGTGCTGATTGTGACGAGGATACGTGTAGTTGCTTGATCAATTCGTAAGTGTACCCCCTTCTTGCCCACACCTCAGCTAGAGCTCATTCGTCTCCCTCCCTCTTCCCCTACTTTGGCAGATCCAAAACACATCCAACCACCGCACCGACCCCTACACCCCCCACACCTACCTCCTCCCCCTCCGCACCCTGCTCACCATCGCCTCCACCCTCCCCTCCACCAACCTCGGCTTCCGCATCTCGCCCTGGTCCACTTTTCAAGATATGCTTGAGCCTGATCCTGTGCGCACGTTTGGGGGGTTGGTGGGGAGGGTTTTGGGGGATGTACCGGGGTTGGCTTGGGTTCATGTTATACGGCCAGAGGAAGGGGGTGAGGACGGTGTGGAGTCCATACGGGAGATAGTCCGGGAGAAGGGGAAGGGGACGGCATTCATCGTGGCCGGGGGCTATGACCCCGAGAGCGCCAAGCAACATGCCGAAAACACGGACGACCTGGTCGCTTTTGGGCGATACTTTATCTGTACGTCTTGCCCAGGCTCCTTCTCCTTCGTTAGGAGTCAGAGGCTGATCAAGTCGAAAAACAGCGAATCCTGATCTTGTTAGGAGGATCGAAAATGATTATCCGTTAGCAGAGTATGATCCTAATACGTTCTACTCGCAAGGACTTGAGGGGTATATCGAGTGAGTCCTGGAATCCCTCTTGCGGTAGCTGCGCTGATGAGACCACAGTTATCCTGATTATGGAGGCCGGGTTTGATTTGATTGCCTCTCGTTGTAACAATCTGTAGGAATAAACATCAACCAACTGTACAACACAGATATCTGCATAAAGTAAACCATCATTCTCTTTCTCGTACGTATTCGACATGACATTTCGATACACTTTGATACACATATATCGCCGACAGTGCCATCTAGGCAGATGTCGGCTGGGCGGTGCGGTACAATTTGGCGTTGGCGATGATCTCGTGGTCATCGATTACAAGCAATTTCTCGGTCGGCGGGTTGGCCGCGAGGTGCGCGATACAAGCTCCCACACTACTCTTCCATCAGTCTCCTCACCCCACAAGTAGGACAGAAGGGACTCACTCTTCAGCATCGATAGCCAGACTATCCACCGGCAAGCCAACCTTCCTCAAGCCCCTAAACAGGTTCTGCGCGATATACTCCACCGGCCTGGACTCGGTCCTGCCGCCGAGAAGGGTAGCTGGTCGGAGAATGACGGTACGGTCGAAAGCGAGGGCTTTGACGTCGGCTTCGAGTTGGCCTTTGATGCGGGGGTAAAACATGCGAGAGTCGGGGGATGCGCCGACAGAGGAGACGAGGATGATCTGTACGATGTCAGCCTTTGGAAGAAAGAGGGGAGGGGATATGTACAGTAGAAGCACCGTCCTCCTTGGCTCGTTTGGCCAAGTCCCTGTTGAGCACCAAATCAATCTTCTCCTGTTCAGCAGTACCCCCCGCAGCCGCACGGGTCGTGCCCAAGCACGAAACGTACACGCCCCCGCTCTCCACCAACCGCTCCTTGTCGGCGAGGGCGTCAAAGAGAGAGGAAAAGAGGCGGGAAGTGACCTTGGTCAACGGGTTGGCTGGCGCCGCGCTGTTCTCGGGCGCGCGGCGGGTGAGGGTGGTGATGTTGAATGCGTGGGGCGAGGCGAGGAGGGATTTGAGCGTGTGCGATCCCGTGAGGCCTGTAGCGCCGACAAGCGTGAGGGAAGTAGGAGTCGTCATTGTTTGGAGTAGAGCGGGTCAGGGGGTGGAGACGGCGGAAGAGGTTTCTGATTCAGACTCGGTATGGCTGTGGACGTCGAGGATGTCTGCAGAGATGGAGACGGGGGATCTGGGGACACGGCGGGGGGTGAGAGAAAGATGGAGAGTGCGTGCGATGGCTGCAAGCGAAGTTTGTGGGTCAGCAATTGGCAAATAAAAAATGCCGCTCCACTGGGAGTGGCCGCCGGGCTTTGACAGCATGGACGACGTCGCAGGGAGGGGGGCAGGAGGCTCACCGTATGCGACGATGTCGAGGATGATACAGAGAGCGAAGGGGACGAAGAGTGCGAATGCGGCGATGCGGCAGGCGAAGGGGAACTGCAGGGGTGAGCGGTGGCAAGGGGGGGTATTACGGGGCGCGTACGTATTGGAGGATACCTGGGAGCGGGGGTGGTTCGAGCGCGGGCCACATGGAGGATGGGGAGAGAGAGGGGAGGAGGGCGCACAAGTATAAGTACTGGGATGGCTCGGGATTATCGGCTGCCGCGCAAGATGTATTATCATGTACGACGCTCTCCGTATCTCCCCGCAAGACACTCACAGAGCCTGGGCCCCGCGGCCGAGCACAGCAGCTTTCCCATGACATCTTCTTATCTCGACCTGTGCCTAGCCGTATGCCGCGAGCGCAGCGGCATGTCCTGGGGCTCATATCGTGCTTGGCTTTCGTGCTATGGGAATGTCGCGCTTCGCCACAGCCACTCGAAAAGCAGAGAGCCAGAGAGACCGAGAAAGACGCCCCTTGCATACAAAATAGACACATGTAAAGTAAATCGTGAAAGCATTCTCCAAAAGTAAGACCCTGCAAACATGTATTTCACGATCTCACAAACCCCTCAAGTCCAACCCCAGGCATTCCTTACTTTTGTTCAAACTTGGCGATAGCAGCGCTCACAGAGCTTCTCGTGCTATGCCCATACTACAGCATACCATCAGCACCTGCCCACCCATCATCAACAACCCAACTTACCTTGCTTGTAGGCCTCTCCCCAGCCCCAGGAGTCCCCGGCGTCCCCGGCCTACTCCCCGCCCCACTCAACGGCCTCGTCCCAACCTTCCTCAACCCCGCCGCGCCCTCTCCTATCGGACTCGTCACCCCCGCAGGACTCTCCGGCCTCTCCCCGCCGCCCTTCGACGAGATCGACCCCGACCCCGGTGCCGGCCTTGGTCCTCGAGCAGCCCTCGGCCCTCGCAGCCTGGACGTATCGCTCGAAGCACCTCTCTTCAGCGTACCGCCCTGCACACCATCGTCCTCTGTCTTTGACACCCCCGATACGGCTGAAAGAGGCGCAGGACTCGCCGCGCGGGAGGTATCGCGACTACCAGACCTCGCGGAATGCGTCGAGATGCGCTGGGGCGTAGGAGCTTGGGTGGCCACGGTAGGAGGGATGAAGGGTTCGTCTTCGTCGCTTTCCTGTGCCGTGGGACGGACGGGGGTTCGGGAAGAGATGGAGGGTTTGGCAGCTTGGGCCGGGACGGGCGGGATGAATGGTTCATCTTCATCGCTCCCCTGGGCATCACGCTGAACAGGGACGCGCTGAGCAGGCGCTTTGGTAGTCACAGGAGGGACGAATGGCTCATCTTCGTCGCTCCCCTGGGCATCACGCTGAACAGGGACACGCTGAGCAGGTGCTTTGGTAGTCACAGGAGGGACGAATGGCTCATCCTCATCACTACCCCTAGACGCGCGCTGAGCAGCAGCTCGTACAGGCGCCTTTTCAGCAGAAGGGACCACGGGAGGGACGAATGGCTTTTCCTCTCCATCATGCGTACCGCGTCGAGCACCAAGAGGAAGCTTGGCCGCAGGGGCTTTACCTTTATTAAAGCTCGGCGGCACAAGCGGCTCATCCTCATCGCTATCCGCCGCCGCAGGTCCCTGCTTTTGCTTAGCCGCAATAGGCGTCCCGAGGCCCAGCGCCGATACAGGGTTGGCAGCAGGCTTACTGGACAGCGGCGGCGTCGGCGTGCTCGGTTCAGGCTTGGGCGGAGGCGCAGGTACCGAGAACGGCGAACCCGCTTGCACCGCAGGGATATGCACCGGCGGCAGATCTTTCGGCCTTGCCCCCGCCCCTGCCCCCGCCCCCGCCCCCGGCGCCGGGCTCACAGACCTCATCTGCGCCCTCTGCAACTCCATCAAATGCCCCGGATCCTGGTCGCTCCCCAAGCTGCTCCTCGAGATGCGCTGGTCCACGAGCGCTGTGCGTTTCTTGACGGGCATCGGGCGCTCGGCGGATTCGGTTTTGAGTTTGTGCAGCAGGGGAGGGAAGAGGGCGGGGTAGTGGTTGATGAGGTCGGCGAGGAAGAGTGAGGGGGTGCGGTCGCCGATAGTGAGGTGGGATTCGTGTTGAGGTCGGAGGATGGCTATAGTCTTTATTAGCTCAGGCATCTTTGGACATGTATGACTTGCTCCTTCCAACACTCAATGCCAACTTGGTCACGTAAACCTCATTGGGCTCGTTCGACTTTGTGTTATCCACAAGACTGCGAATGTTTAGCATTGCAAAGCATGAATGTGGCAGACTCACTCTCTAAAATGCTTGATGACAGCATTCAGAGCATACACATGCGACGCCGGTAGCCTGCCCAAGACACTCGACACCCCACTAGTCATGTCCACCTCCTGATCCGCGCCAACTATTCCATCATCAGCTAAACTCTCCACCTGATTAGCATCAACTCACTAGCAGGGTAGACCGCCTTTGCATCCTCCCATCCTTCCCAACCCATCACCGGCGGGTTCAGTTCCAACAAGAATAGCTTGACCGTCCCCGCTGCCACTGGCACGTTAAACTTTTTCACAATGCTGACGATATCATCGATGGCGATCTGAGGATTGTTGATGGCATTGCGAAGCATGTGCGTTTCGGTCAGAGGGACTTCGTAAATCCATCCTCGACGGCGTTCTGGTGTTGTCAGCCAAGACCCATATGACTGAAAGGTACTCACCTTCTTCAGAGAGGTCCTCGTACATCTCGTTCAACGCCCTCAACATCGCCTCCAGCACCTCTGGAATCGCGCCCTTACTCCTCTTCGTACTCGCCCCCACCAAACTCTTCCACCCCCGCTCCCCACTCCACCTCCTCAGATCGATCCCAAAATTGACATCCGGCAAATCACTCTCCAAACTCTCATAGACATACGCCTGTGGCCTGAACGGTCCTGTGCGGTTACCCTCAATGAGCGCTTTGAGGTCAGTGTCGGGGTTGAACGCTTCGACGGAAAGGGCGGTGGATTGTTGGATATTGGCGAGACGGCTAGGGAGTTTGGCGAGGGTATGTTCGTATTCTTTGAGGACCTGCTTGACTGCGGCGAGACGTTCGCGTTCCCAGCGCTCCCAGATACGCAGTCCGCGCTCGATACGTTCTTCCATCTCGAGACGCTTGTCCTCGGCACTCCACACGCCCTCGCGGTACGCTTCGTCCGCTTTGGTGGCTTCGCGGCGGAGGCGCACGTGGATCGGCTCGTCGCTGTTGGCAAGCGAGGCGGGAAGGTAGGATTGGTATTGCTTGAACAGGCTGGGGATGGCGTTGGTGGCTGCCGCGGGGGAGAGGGGTGAGTTGATCCCGAGCGGGAGCTGGGACGTAGTCTCCGGACCATTGATCTTGAGGATAAAGTACGTGTCATCCCCTGCATCAAACCCTCTTCCAACCCCGATCCTGCTGAAAAATCCCATCTTGTGCAGCTCCGTCGCCGCATCCTCGCACCTATCCCACTCGCCCCCGAAGCCTTCGACGGTGTTGGTAAGCCACTCGACGACCTCGGCGCCGCTGAATGTCTTTTCGTAGACACCGAGGAAGGTGCTGCGCTGACGGCTGGCGAGGGCGGCGTTGGACTTTGTAGATGGGGTCAGGGGAGATTCGGCGTTGGGCGCGGGGTGGGTCAGGAGGTAGAGGTCGAGTTGTTTGAGAATGTCTTTGAGCCCTTGCTGGGTCAGGGACAAGCCGGAGAGGAGGATCGAGTCATCATGAGAGACGTGATTGTCCGCAGCAGAACCGGCAGGCTTGCCATCAGGGTGGACTGGCGGCGTGAATCTTTCCTCTCGCGGACTGGAAGGACTCTCGGGACCGCCACTGGAAGTCAAATCTTCTGTTTTGAGAGGGCTCGGAGGAGGCGGCAAGACCTTGCCGTCTACCGAGTAGGTATTGTGGTGTCGAGAAGGCGAAGACGGCGCGACGCTGGAACCGCTGCTGACGGACGCGGCACGAAGCTTCTCGGATATCCGGTCTGCGACGGTCCCAGCGCGGCGGAGGTTGGCCCCAGAGAGTTTGGACGGGGTCGTCTTGGGGGACGATGTGTAATTGTCGAGCGGAGGGGACATGGCATTGTTGGCTGGCGCAGGGGCAAACTTGGCGCTGCTCATTGTCAGCACCGCCCCGAAACACAGAGACCCGTCACTCACTCGTCTTCGCTATCATCTGCCGCGCGAGACTTTGTCAGGTATGCCTTTTTCAAGGTTTCCAGCTTTTGCACGTCCTTTTCCCAAGCAGCAATGATACCGCCTTTCCCAAGCATATCTCCCTTGGCCTCTTTGATTCTCACGCTGTGCCTCTCGACCCAGCCCTTCCATGCCAAGAGGACTCGCTCTTCGAGCTCTTGGGCAAGGCCGAGATGGGCTTCGCCACGGCCGACCGAAGCACCTTTGAGAGAGAGGAGAGAGTGGGAGAGGGAGGTTACAGAGTCGGGAGAGCTGACCGAAGGCGGAGGGTGGAGGAGACCATTAGCCAGGCTCTGATGGGCGCGTACTTGGGACTGCAAGCGTGTCAGCGCAGGTCTCGTGCGTTGCCAGTACGTACCTCTACGAAAGCAGTTATATCTTCATTCTCGAGACATCCCTGCTCAAGATTGTCGAACAGCTTCTGAAGGCCGTGTCTGTAGTCGGCGGACCAGAAGGAGTTGTAGAATGACGGGGGGAGGGTGATGGGGGCCATCTTGTGGCGGTGGTGGAGGCGGACGCGGCGGCGGTGGCAGTGATGGCGTCGGGGGTGGTGCTGGTGGGGTTGACGGGGCCGGTGATGGGGATGAGAGGGGATGCACCAGCTCGGGCCTCGTAACAACCTCTCGAGTGACACACGCGCCCTCCAACGCGGGGCGGCCACCGCCGCATCGCATCTGCCGGCATGTTGAGTGTCTCGTGGCGCCTTTGTTTGTTGCTGACGAGGAAAGGGGCATGGTGGCCTGTACGGGGGAGGAGCATACCAGCTATTCCTCCTGTGCGCAAGTGTCTTGAGCGTGAGACTCTCTCCATAGAGTCATGGGGCGTGGTATGATGGCCGTACAACCGTTCAGGGTGTACAGCATTTGATTGACCTTGCCTTCTTGAAACCGTCATATAAATACAAAGACTAATTTAACATCGACGGCCATAGCCTCCTCAAAGTACCGCGTCCCGTCTGATCCGCGAAGTCAACTAGGAGAGCGCTCGGTTAGTACCAGGGTGGGGGACCACCTGGGAATCCCGGGTGCCGTCGTTTTTGCTTTTTGCTCGCTCAACCTTGCGTCTATGTATAACACTAGACTGGTCATACTCAGGAAACCGTCGAACCCAGTGCATTTACCCATGTACAGCACATCAAGATGACCCAAACTTTTTCTACGGTAAAATTGACCGATAATCCAACGATAGCCACAGAACAGCCTACCTTTCTTCTCTTCCTGTCCTCTCCTTATGTACGCCTACGCATGTCCGACCCACTGCTCTTACACATCATTTCTGCCAGCCTTTCCAACACTCCCAGCCCTGTAGTTGAGCTCGGGCCTAGCAGAAGTGCCCATTATGATAGCCTCGATGTCGCGCTTGGCAATCTGGTCGAGGTGCGCTGTGTTGGTGTGGAAGACTTCCTCCATCTGTTCCAACGTCTTTATATGTCAGCAGAGGTTCACGGCACCTCGACATTACTGTGCTGACTATTGCCACAGATGGCATTTGCTAGAGCTGTGCTATTATTCTCGACATACATGGGCGTGTCGGGATGTAATCCAACGCCTAAAGACTGAAGGACTACAATATGTTTCCGATAGAAGGCATAGCGGGCCTTTTCAGGTGTCGAGTCTGTGGAAGTGCGGGAGAACATGTCAAGTTGGGAAAAGATGTGGCAATCGAGTGAGGGGCCACGTATGCTTTCCCGGGGGGTCTCCATATACAACTCCCCGGGGCTCCCGGGTCCTGCATCTCTGCTGACCTCCGCATAGAGGTCTCACATCGGGCCGAACACAAACAGACAAGATGAATCGAAAGGCACGCTGGACTTCCCTGGGCTGGTATGACGTATATGCTTGCCAAAAAAGAGAGGTTGGAAAGGCGTGCCTGGGCCGAATAGAGGTCACGTGAGTCGACATCTCCCTTAATGCCACGATCTATATACGCTGTATTTGTCAGTCCCTGGAGGTGCGAGGCGATCCTTCAAAATAACCCCCACTTGTTGCCGCAACTTGCCGCAGCTTGCCGCAAAATGACGCTGCACAGTCTCATGTCTCATCCAATTTATGGCTGCGAATTGGTTCCGTTTGATCGTGCCTTGAGTTTGATTGTTTTTTTCAGTGCCTGTTCGGCCCGAATGAAGGGAGTTAGCCGTACCGTCCAGCTCGATATGATGCGACGTATAAATAGGATATGAATGGAACCCCCCTGCAATTGTTCATCACTAACAATCAACTCCATATCCCATACCAAACCACCATCATTCCAATTGCGTCGCCAATTGTGCCTCTCTCAGCATGTTTTCCAGCACTTCCTCCGACGACTCAATACCCAAACCATCCGAGAAGGCCCCTCGCCATGCCTCCGATCGAGAACACATCGTGGCCCTCAAGTCATTTGGTGTAGATCTGCATCCAGAAACCCCCATGTATGTCGAAGATAGTACATCCCTGGCCAACGCCATCGGCGGTAGTGGTAAGTGCACAATCGGGACGCCTCGAAGTTTGCTGACGTTTGTTCAAAGGACTCAAGGACATTTTTGCCAACTCCCTGGTCCTTATGGCCGCCTTCAGCGCATGTATGGGAGGCCTGTTGTTCGGATTTGATCAGGGCGTAGTCTCGATCATTCTGACGATGGATCAATTCCTGTCTGTCTTTCCTGAGATTGACGCTGATGTCTCGAGTGGCGCTTCGTTCAACAAGGGGTAGGTCCGCTCTCCTTCTGTTCAGGGTTAGTTACTGACGGTATCCCAGTATCATGACTGCCCTTCTCGAACTCGGCGCTTTCATCGGAGCTCTACAAGCCGGATTCCTCGCCGATAGGTATTCAAGAAAGAAGACTATCGGTAAGTCCGCAACTTTGTTGGACATGGCTGGTTGTCGCTAAACCTCTTGTGCAGCTATCGGGGCGGTGTGGTTCATCATTGGCAGTATCATCCAGACAACCTCATACTCCTTTGCTCAACTCGTCGTTGGCCGGTTCATCGGCGGCCTTGGTGTCGGTGTACTGTCGGCTGTGGCTCCCATGTACATCAGTGAATGTGCCCCGCCCAACATCAGGGGGTCCTGCCTTGCTCTGGAAGGATCCTCTATTGTGATCGGTATCGTCATCATGTTCTACATCGTAGGCTCCTCCTCACTAGAAATGGCCTATCTGCTAACCAACATGCAAGACTTACGCCACCCGCTACATCTCCAACGACTGGGCTTTCCGCGCCCCATTCCTTCTTCAGATGACTCCCTGCATCGGTCTCTGTATCGGTCTCTACAAACTTCCCTACTCTCCTCGATGGCTTGCGAGCGTAGGCAGGGACCAGGAATGCCTCGACGCCCTTGTCCGACTCCGCCGCTTCCCTACTTCTGACCCTCGCTTGCAAGCCGAGTGGATCACCGTCAGGGCCGAGGCCGTCCACAACAGAGAAGTCATGTTGGAAGAGCACCCGAATTTGCAAGGGGAGGATGTGTGGTCCCAAATCAAGCTGGAAATTGCTTCGTGGATAGACATGTTCAGGCCCAAGATGATCAGGAGGACGTCGATTGGTATTGTCTTGATGGTATTCCAGCAGTTCTTGGGTATCAACGGCAAGTCTCCTCCATTCCATTTCACCCAGTGACCCCATTCTGACACTCGATCTAGCTCTTATCTATTACTCCCCCACACTCTTCGAAGAGCTCGGCCTTGATTACCAAATGCAGCTCGACATGTCTGGCGTCCTCAACATCCTCCAAATGCTCGCCACTTTCGTCGCTTTCTTCATCCTCGACCGTGTCGGTAGACGCGCGCCCCTCCTGATCGGATCGATCGTCATCACCTCTTGCCACGTTATCGTTGCTGCCATCATGGCCGTCTACAGTAAAGACTGGGCAGCACACATGACGCAAGCCTGGGTTGCTGTAGCATTCATCTTCTTGTTTATGTTTGCTTTCGGCCTCGGGTGGTCTCCTGTCCCTTGGGCTATGCGTAAGCCCTCATTTCTCTAATCTCCCTTGGCACACACTGACTCTTAGGGATAGCTGCTGAGATCAACCCTTCCAGCCGACGTGCTAAAGGTGTCGCTATAACCACCTGTGCCTGCTGGGCCGGCAACTTTATCATCGGCCTCATCACTCCGCCAATGCTGCAGCACCTCAAATACGGCACATTCCTCTTCTTTGCGGCATTCGGACTTTTGTCTGGGATCTGGACGTGGTTCTTTTGCCCCGAGACCAAGTGAGTCGATGTTTCCATCTGGGGTGGCAGACGTTAAACTGATGTTATCCCAAGGGGAAAGACGCTGGAACAGATGGACGAGGTCTTCCATACCAACACTGCCCATCTCGATCTCATTGCCAAACGCGACATCGAGGCTATCATCATGGGTACACCCGCCAAGCCCCTTGCGAGGGGCAGGAGCGACTCTTCGTCCTCTGCTGTTGGAGAGATCGTGGCTCGATTCAAGAGCGACAGCGAAAAGGTGGGCAAGGACAATGTGCAAGAGCAGTGGATTGAGCACGCTTGAGCGCGCATGGGGGGACATAGGGAGGAAGAAGAGAAGACGAGGCGTGTTTACTTCATCGGATCGTTGGATTTGTAGCATTACTATTTCAAGCCTATACTGTTGACATATCATATACTGTACACACATATGACGGATGAATGCATTGAATCTATACCACGCCTTTCGCAACAATGACCTCTTCCCTTCGCCGACAATCTTTTGGCTATACCTTATTGCAAAAGGTGCATTGTCATTGCAAGGTCTTTTATAGTACATATAGTATCATGTATACAGTTGCAGATATGCATTGAAGTGCCTTTGCTATGAACTGCATGTCAAAAGCCTAAAGAAAGTAAAAAGACATTCCTTGAATGAAAGCCTTCTCGAGAAACTTTTCAGCAGGCTTGAAAAAGTTTCTTGAAGAAGCTCCTCGCCAAGGGATCAGATCACAGAGAGTGCGGATGAAAGTTCCTCGTCTCTCACTCAGATCCTGCAAAGATGCCTTGTAAGCCCCAGTGAAGCCCCCAAAGTACTCCAGAAAAGTGCCCAAGGAAGCCCCAGGAAAGCCCCAGAAGTACTCAACAAGTATCCAACAAGTACCTTAGAAGTACCCAAGGAGCACCCAACAAGTACACAAGAAAGCTCCAGAGAAAGCCCTTGTAGGGAGAAATAACGCGGCGCACAAACCCCTGGTGATGTAGTACAAATGCGTGTATGTATATGTATGATGTGTGTGCATTGAGAAACACCCGACTGCTCTCCTAGCAATGAGTCACCCCCTTCCGTTGACCATCTGGGAATCCGTTCGGAGGGAATTGGCTCTCCCGCCGTTCCGGTCGCGTCGAAAATGGTGCGCTCACCCGGCTCGACACAAGCCCCTCGTCCTGCTGCGTCGAGCCAGGTGCGCTCATGGGGTGTCACTTGTCATGGCGCAATAGAAACGTACTGTTCATGTATCTAATCAGTACTGACCAATCTCTGCCCAGCAGCTTGCATCCAGCGTGCACATGCCATAGCCCAGGAAGACACAAAATTGAAGAGTGGGTACACGTTATAGGGACCAAACAGGACGGCTTTCTCCGCCGTGTCGGTGGTGCCTGGCTCCGCGGCGGATCTCGAAAACGAAAAGATCAGATCCTTCGTCCTTCGAAAACTCATTTGCCGGTCAAGAATCCAAGATTGGTCAAGAAGGATCTGTTGCTGGAATCCCTTCTTTTCCCCTTTTTTCGACACTAGTCTTGTTCAACCCTTTCGGATTCCGAGGCATCGACTTCCAAAATGAGATCCAATCTCCACTCGGTGAAAACATGGAGCAGCCTTGCAGCCTACAAATCTCCCCTAGCATGCATGGCGTTGTCACCACCCCACTTGTTTGAGACACCACGCCACCCCTCCCGTCTATATCTCTGACTTTACTCCGTCCTCTTCCCACTCTATCCTATCCCACTCCACGGACCACTCTATCACTTCCAACTTTACCGACCATTCACAGACATGGTGCTTCTTGTTGCCCACCTCCCCCGGCACATTGCCGTGAAGGTAGTCGCCATCAGCATGATGTTCATCCTCTTCATCATGATTCCTTGGATGCCTTCGAATCAGGGCGCCCATGAGAGCGATCTGTGGAGAGCTCTGGGGCAAGGTAAGGGCATTGGCAGTTTGTTCAGTCGGCTGGACGCGCAAGCTGCTGTGGGTTTCTATCACCCTTCAGGAGAAGATGTTTCACGACGCCCGACACCCACGGCTGCTGCGCGAGGGTGTAGTATGTGCGAGATGGATCCTGCGCTATGTGAAGAGCTTGGGTGAGCTTGGCCTGATTCTCGAGAACCCCTGTGGCCAACTCTCTTGTAGAAAATCCAATATCGAAAGGTCTCTGGTATACTCTGGTACCGGGCTTCGCCTCAGGCGCATGGCCTCCAAGCTTAAAAGAGGAGGAAGACTGGTACATGCTATCATCGGCGGCTCTGGTGAGTATAGAGCGATACCCTCATCGACACTGTATTGACAATCATTTCAGTATCCACTGGCACAAACATCGACAAGGACCCGTCGTACGGCGGTAGAGAGCAGCAATATACAAATTTCAACCGTATCATCTTTGACCGCCTCAATTCTCTCTTCCCAGCACCGAATGGGACCGTCATAGGAAAGAACGGACGAGAAGAAGGCAAGAATTCAATGATCAATGGTGCGCAGGGAGGTACCGGTAAGTTTCGCTTGATGTCCCGAGGAGAAAACAGTACTGAACATGTTCCATAGGGTCCGCCTACTTTTCTCTTTGTTGGGGCGAACATATACCGACCGATGTGGATCTCGTCACGATTGACTCTGCCGTTAACGATGTCCCTCAGTTGGTCACCTCGGTGAACGTATGAGCAAAAGCTGATACTCTTGAAGTGAAACCAAATTCATGGAGTCGTACGAGACCCTCGCCCGAAGCTTGCTCGAGCTACCAAGTCATCCAGCTCTTCTGAACATGCAGTACGTCCCCTTTCTCTCGTCTGGTGACCAACTCGTCTTACTCGGTCCACAGAGTCTTTTCGGTGGGACAACACTCCATGGTCAACGGAGGCGACATGGTACGTATCGTCTCGATTCTTTTCTATTCAGAACGGTGCTGACGAAGATGGTAGCACATCGGGGTTGCCTCCTGGTACGATATCCCCTCAATATCTCAACGGAACGCCCTTCATCATACTGTTCTGAAAAACGCTTCGCTCGTCCCAGAGCTTTTCAGCATCGGTCATGATGGAAAGATTGACCTTCGACATGCAAGTCGCTCTCTTCCAAACATATCAACCAAACAACTGACACGTCCAGAATAGATAGGCATCAAAGGGCACAACATCCTCGGTCGTCTGGGCGCGGCGTACGTTGAATCTCAAGTCTGCGAGATGGAGAAGTATGAAGCTTCCATTCCAAATGCTGCAGAGATGACATTGGATCAGCTCTATCCCGTTGAACCGCTTCCTCGAGTAAGATGATCTCTTCATGTCATATCTGAAGGGAAAGAGTTGACCGAGTCCATTCCAGATGCAACTCAACCACGGGTACGAAGAAGACTTTGTCCTGCCCCCCATTCGACCGCAATGCTTTTCCACCAACAGCGTCAAACACCCTCTCGTACCCATCGCGGCGAGATCTGACCTCGGATCCGAGGCCTGGCATCCTTGGGCATGGCAAAACAAGAAATACCTTATTACCAACACCACTGGTACCAAGGTACAATTTCAGCTGGAAACGGGTTCGGGACACATTGGAATTCAGTATCAAAGGTCGCCAACGTATGGGTTGGGGAGTGTCAAGTGCTGGGTGGATGGGAGCGAACATCAAGCGGTGAAGGTTCATGGGTATTGGGAAAGGCCCCATCACCTCTCACAGTAAGTCTCGTCTGTCTGTCGTCTTGCTGAAGACGGTAACTTGACATTCTTCGATAGACCGGCGACAGTCAAAGATGGTCTGAAACCAGGGAAACATCTCTTGACGTGCCAGCTGTTGGACGAGACACAAGATCCCAATGGAGGGAAAGAGTTCAGACTGATTGCGGTGACGGCGGCGTAACGTGTATACTGAATGGTTGTATCATTGCGACTAGACTTGGGTTGTTGATTCACATATATAAGTAGATGCAGGTCATCATCTTCTTCCGTTATGATTCGAATCCCTCTCCTTGATCGCCATGCCGCATTGTACCTTTTCCAGAGTCCGCGGACTGCCGGTCCTTTCTCCGCATGTTTGCTGCAACTTCAAAGCCAGGTGACCTATATATAATGCATTGTAGACGCAGATTTAGCATGCTATTGTGTGATCTTATATGTTGGTACAGTACATGTGTACAAACGATCAATCGAACAATGGTCGATACTGTCAAATCGTCAGCGCATTGTTATATACCGAACCGTTCAGACTTACTTTCGAATTGACATCATACTGGGTAGGCCCCAAAGCGCCCTCATCATCATCACCGTCATCATCCCAATCATCTACAACCTCTCCATCATTATCGCTAATCTCCGGCTTCCTCTCTTCTTCCATCTCCACATCCGACAATGCCTGCCTCCTTGCGTCCTTCGATGTCGATGCAAACGGGCGTTCGGCGGGAGCGTCGAGCTCTCCCATGAGATTTGGGTCCATGTCGATTGTCGGATCCCAAGTAAAGTCGTTCTCGTTCGCCTCTGTCGTATCCACCACATTCTCCTGCTCCAGCGAACGAGAAGGCCCAACTCGACCCAGCGTTTCTCGCTGGGTGATTCTTTCTTGCCTCTCCTTCTCCCTCGCTTTGAAACGGGCTTGAGATCCCATGGGAGCTCTCGAACTGGTAGCTGGCTGTTGCGGGTGAGCAGAAGGAGGGGGTATTTGGCTCGCTCTTGCCTCTTCCTCCTCCTCCTCATCATTCATCATATCACCCAGCTCGTCCATGTCGATGTCTCCCAGTCCGGCGTAATCAAGCACCTCTTGCTGAGTCATGCGTACACCACCAGATTGGGTATTGGAAGGCCCAGCGTCCGGCGGTGGCGATCGGTCCTGAGACAGTGGGAGAAAGAGGGGTTCCTGATCGTTGGATCGTGATTTCTGAGGTGAGGCAGAGGCGCGAGGGTTGACTTGAGACTGTGGTTGTGAAGCAGCTGCGCGACTGGGAAGGTAAACTGTCACGAGTCGCTCTTCCTCTTCTTCCACGGGTTTGGAGGCGCTCAAGCTCAGCTTTGGTCTGCGCTGAGTTCCAGCACCCTTGCGACGAGCAGAGCTCGCACCACTCCCAGCCGGACCGCCAACTTCCACTTGCGCACTCCTTGCCGTGCCTCGATTCATCGACTGTTCTCGAGAAGCTGCCCTGGCCGGCTCGATCTCGTGAGCAAGATGGACGCCGGCAAAGGCTTCTTCCTCTTTCGAAGTAGCGACGGCGCAGAATATGGTGAGGTCCTCCAGCTCATCTTCGAGGTTGGTGAGGGTGAGAGGTTGGTCGGCGGTAGAGAAGGAGACGTTGAGGGTGATCGAGAGTTGTTCGGCAAGACTCAAGACGGCCTGTCTGGTATCAGCCATCATATATATTTCGCGTTGGAGCATGACACACCTTGAATTCCTTCATCGGCATTCTCATGTCCACCCGGTCGCCAAAGAGCTCAAAATCCTCAAACTCTTGCGTATCGACCTTGATTTCTGTACTCAATCCAGCACCACCACCGCCTTCCAAGCTCTTGATCCTAACATGATCTTCCGCGAACAACCAGCACAGCTGACTCAACCCCCCGGTCGGATTCAGGGCATCTCTGGATGATGGAAAGGAGATGGTAAAGTGCTCCAGCCATTCGCGTAGGATGCGAGAAGAGATTGTGAAATGGGAAGGTGTTGTTTCGGGGTCGACGTTGACTCGATCGAATGCCGATGTCGCCAGGTGTAAAGAGTGTTTCCGGATGACTCCTATACGTATGGTCAGCTTGTCTGGGATCCATACGCTTGATACGACGTACCATGCTCGCAACATAGCCGTATAACTAGCTTTGCCTGCAATCCTGCTTGCGCCTCGTCCTCATCCTCATCCGTATCCTCATCCTCATTCCCCTCCTTCTTGATAAAGTTTCGATCTGCAGGAACCTCCTGGGCTTCTCTTCTCCGTCGCTTGTTTATACGGCTTCGAGGCCGGAGCTCGGCCGAAGGGTCGACAATCTTGAGCTCGATCTTCTGGACAGAGGCCATCTGAGCTGGTTTGCCCAGGATGGCCAGGATGGACTGTATTTCGTCAGCCTCCAGGATTGGACAGCAAAAACTTCCAACATACCTTGACAAAGACTCGACATTTGATTTCTCCCCTGACATTACTCTTCCTGCGCCAGTACTGAAAAAAGTCCCTTTCCAGTGAGTACTTGACGTATGCGGTCTTGGATGGATCTATTGAGGACATCTCCCACTACATAGAGAATCAGCATCAATCACGAGGCAGACAGGGCACATACGCAAGTGGGTCCCACGCAGATATGAAGGTCATCTCCGAACTTGGAGGCACATTGTAGGAGCTTGACGAAAGCTGAGGGTGTGTCAGCGCGCCGCCCGCCATGCGATGATCGCTTACTTCTGATACCATTGTCCTTCAGAGTAGCCTCCATGCCTAGCTGCACTCTGGGAAGGCAAGTTGAAGGTAGTTTTCCGGATGAAGCACGGTCGCGGGATGAAAGGCAATTGCAAGAGGGGAATGATAAAACGCGTCGCGTCGCGGTTCGGGGTGACATCACCTGTCAGACTCTTATACTGCAGATGGTATGGTGTGTATGTTCGTAGCGATAGATTCGGCGGCTGTACATCCGCTGTTCGAACAATAATTCTCATCATCTATGTTCCAAGCGTTTTACATAGACTCGTTCTGACTGCTTCATACTAGCGATGCCCTCTTATGGCTGACTTCTGCCGTTTCCCCTCGCCTCCGCCAGATTCCCAGTACTCGTCCCTTCCTTCATCTCCTTCTTCCAGATACTCCTCTCCACCGTACTGACACCCGGCCCCTGATACACACTTCCATACAATCCTGTCGCCCATCCCTTACCCGTCTGTGCAGCTTCACTCTCCACCTGCGTCTTCCCTTTCTTCGACGTAAAGTTTCTGCTATACCACTTGCCGTACGCAATCAGGTAGTACAGTCTGAAAGACAGGAAAGCAAACTTGTCGTGCTCAAGATCTTCGGGGTACTCTGCACCGAGAGAGACGGCAGCGGCGATACCAGACATGACTGCAATCTCGTGCGCATTGACAAGGGTCCAAGAGGCGGCGAACCTGGTGTGGTTCTTGGCCTGGAGGAACATCATCCAAGGGATGACATACAAGTAGTGCGTCCAGCCGTGGCACAGCTGGTGCCACCAATCTTTCCTGATGATCTTGTCTTTATCGATCTCGTCGTCTGACCAGAGATGGCCGTCGCGCGCAGTGTTGAGATAGATGGTCTGGAAGACGTGCTGCTCGAAGGGGACGTTGGGAGGGAATTGGGATTGGTAGTTGGTACAGTCAAAGCACATCTCGAGCTTGGAAGGGTCTTTCGGGTACATTTTGATATAGTACATCGGGCGAAAGTCTTCTTTTGCGGCCTCCATTCGTTCGGTCTGGTCGACGCCGTTGGCGGACGAGACGGCGAGGTCGGGGCGGTAAAAGTTTTCATAGTGTCTCTTCATATAGTCGGAATCGTTGTGTGTGATGGTGATATCGTCGCTAAAGGTAGCGGACCCGAGCACCTTCTTCTCCTTCCAGCTTGCCGACTTGCCAAGAACCTTCTTGGCGGTATCGGCGAGGCAACAGAGGACGAGTTCGTCGTACTGCTCCTCGCTCGGAGAGACATCCTCGTCGGCACCGTTGGGGTTATGCCCGTCCTCTGCCGGTGTCCTCTTTCGAAGACTGACCACCACGCCATTCTTGTCCCGCTTTACAACCTCTGCCAGCTCCGTCGAAAGTCTGACCGTCACCCCGCGGTCTTCCAAGTCCTTCCTCCAAGTATCGTAAAACTCGGAAAACTTGGGAAATACGATCATGGGCGGCTGGTTGGACACCACGGTATTCTTGTCGGGCGGAAACCACATGCCGTAGGTAGGAGAGGTACAGAGCCGTTCGAACATGATGGTGGGTACCTGTGGCGTGGCGTTACCCGTGCCCAGGAAGAGAGCCGTCATGGGCAGAGCGATAACGTTGATAAACTCTTCGGAAAACATGAAGAGCTTGAAGACTAGGCGGAGAGGAATAAGGGCGAAGAATAGCTCGAGTCTTCGGATCCACTTCAACATCCACGCCAGGCGGATCACCTCTGTTTGATGCTTGACCAAGATCTCGGTGGGGAAGACGTTTGACCAAAAAGTATCGTCTTTGCCGAACGAGACCTGTAGATTGCAGGGATCGGCGTGGAACCCCTGGCGCTGAAACATGGTGACGGTGTGGTGGAAGATGTAGGATCCGCCCTGGACACCCTGATTGCACCAGGAGGCGCCGTAGCGGTCTTTATCGAGCGGAATCGAGAACGCTTGGCCACCACAGTAGTCGACGGCGTCGATGAGGGTCACGTCAAACTTTTCGGGGTGCTGAGATAGATGGTAGGCGGTAGACATGCTGAGGAGCCTGTCAGTGTATGAAAAGCCAATCACCGATGCACTTACCCAGCTGCTCCCGCGCCCACCACCAACACCTTCTTGCGATGCGTGCCGTCTTGGGTCATACCGTTTGCGCTGCCGTGTTCTATGTCGCGAGTCGAGGGATCGGACATTGGCTGTAGCTCAGCCTATGAATGGAGGGAAGAGACTGTATAGAGGCAGATTGTACATTGCTGATTCTGTCGATGCCGCAAACTGAGACGTCATACCTAATAATGAAGCGTCAACAACGACGCCCGCCGTCTTAGATCGGGAAGCGGCGAGAAGCGCTATCCCGTAATTGCTTCCGCCGCGTTGTTTGGTTCGGCAACAGAGCCGGAGGCGGTATCGGTGCCGCTTGGCCGCAGTACATGAGGTGCGTGTAAGGCGACGTGAATATCATGGTCCAGGCTCTCTCGCTGACCAAGAATAGTCCTCCGCCGCGTGGCCACTTCCAAGAGCTGACAGTGACCGGCGGCCACCAGAGCGCCCGAGTGCCCGACGTCCTTCATGGAAAATGGAGTGAGTGAGTAAGCAGCTCAGCACCGAAGTGTTCGACCTCGGTGAGTCAGTGGTATACATAGACGACACAGGTGAGCGTTCCCTCCCCGGTATTCTGCCACAACAGCCCACAATGCTTCAACAGACTTCCAAACTCTTCTCGCCCATTGCTGTCGGCTCGCTTGAGCTTCAGCACCGGGTCGTAATGGCACCTATGACCCGTGGCCGGGCCAATCCAGTAGGAGGTGTCATTGCAGACTTCACTTACGAGTATTATGCCCAGCGAGCATCGCGTGAGCTTCGTCCTCATCCTACGCATGATGAGCATACTGACGAGGATTGTAGCGGGTGGACTATTGATTAGCGAAGGAACCGTCATCGCCAAAGAAGCAGGGGGTTTTCCCCAAGTCCCAGGCATCTACAATCAAGCCCATATCGACGCTTGGAAGAAGGTCACCGCGGCTGTCCACGAAAAGGGCGGCAAGATTGCCTGTCAGCTTTGGGCTTCTGGGTAAGTTCTTCTTGGGACCTCGTGATAGCCTCAGTCGCTCAAGAATAGCAGACGCGCAGGGATCCAAGGAGCCATACCCAAGATCTTTGCCCCCAGCAATGTACCGCTCGTCGACGGCGCCCAAGAGCTCTCCGTCATGACTGAAGAGGACATTGAGCGGTTCATCGAGCATTATCGACAAGCAGCTGTCAATGCCATGGAGGCGGGCTTCGATGCAGTAGAGCTCCACGGGGCAAACGGCTACGTACGTATACACTATACTTGTCCCTTGTAGCGATCGCTAATACCTCTGCGTTGATAGCTCATCGACCAATTTGTGCGTCAAGTCTTGGCACGTATATGGCCAGCATGACCGTAGCTGACCGTCTCTGCAGGTGCAGAAAAAGACCAACCAGAGGACCGACGCCTACGCCCAGCCCACCTTCCTCTTCCCCCTCCGCGTCCTTTCCGCCGTCACCTCATCCATCGGTGCCCACCGCGTCGGCCTTCGCATCTCGCCCTTCTCCCGCTTCAAAGGCATGCGCGATGCCGATCCCCTCGGTACTTTCGTCCCCTACATCACCAAGGTCCTCGAAGCGCACCCCGACCTGGCTTATATCCATGCGATAGAGCCCAGGGCAGAGGGGTTTGCGGATGTGGACATCGTTCAGGGAGACGACTTGCAGCCCATCAGACGGGTGGTGCAGGAGGTTGGGAAAGGGGTCAAGTTTATCGTCGCTGGCGGGTACACTATGGAGAATGCCAAGGCTCACGCTGACGAGACTGGGGATCTCGTGGCCTTTGGGAGATTTTTCACTTGTGAGTTTTTGCCAAATTCCTCCACGCTCAGAAGATAGAAGTTGACAGGTCTCCATAGCCAACCCAGATCTTGCCAAGAGGATCCAGAACGGGTGGCCACTCCAGAAATACGATCGACCAACCTTTTACAGCCCTGGGAGAGAGGGCTATGTCGAGTAAGTCCCTGGTGTAATGCTCCAATATCGCATATAGACTGACTCGCGCCAGTTTCCTTGAATACCAAGCCCCTCAGGCTTCCGCTTAGTTCTCCTATTCGCTGCCGTCGGGTATGACGGAGACTAGAAAGCTCATTAGTTTGAATGCAAATGTTGCTCAGAGATGCCAATATGGATACATCGACAAGCAAGCCCAACTGCTGTCTATAGGCGATCATTAAGTCGTTAAACCTCCGCCCTTTTCTGCCTCCTTCTTCACTCCATCGTCGCCGTCTCTCTTTTTGCAACTTTATTCCACTCCCATTCTGCTAGCGTGACATCTGTGAACCATTAGCTCCCATACAACGTCCTTTCCAGATGGACTCACGCGTCACACAGCCTCTAGTCCACTCTGATCGAAGCGTACAACCTTCTCAACGCAAAGTATGTTGCCACATACCCAATCGCGCCTCCCACAAGGAAGTCGAGTAACGAGAAGAGGAACCTATCACCAATCAGTATCGCCCCTCCCATTCATAAGCCACGAAAGAGGAACTCACAGGTAGCCAAAGTACAAGACCACGCTCGTAAAGCTATCCAAGCTCAACCTTGACGCCCAGTACCACACTCCGTACGCAAACAGCCAAAAGGCCGATCCTCCTCCGATCATGAACGACCTCCAATGCCACCTGTATTCTTCTGCGCAGAGCAAGAAGTAGACAAAGAGCACGGTCACGGTCGCTGTTGTCAACGCCACCACGATAAAGGTGAGGAAGAGGAACCCGAACGCATAGTATGCGCGATTGCCGAATAGAGAGGAGAGGACAAAGTAGAGCTCGACAAAGGCGGCGCCGAAGGGGAGGATACCGCCGAGGATGGCGGCGGGCCAGGTGGAAAGGTACCAGGGTTTGGGAGGGATCTGTCGGGGGATGGAGGCGACTCGGACGGGGTTGGTGAAGGCGCCGTGCTTCATACCCAAAAAGTAGCCGGCGACGGTCAAGGGCGCGGAGATGATGAACCATAAGAGCAGGACCGCGAGGATGGTGCCGAATGGGACAGCGCCAGATGCACCAGAGAAGATGAGGAACAGGTTGAACAACCCGATGAGGGAAAAGACGACGGTGGGAAAGAGGACGGTCGTGAGAGCGAGGTTTGATTTCCACTCGTCGCCGCCGATAGTAGCAAAGACTCGAGCAGAGGTGTACCCAGAGACACAGCCAAAGAAGGTCCAGCATATCAGAAGGACGGTCGCGAGAGAGCCCCGGTTGGACGGGGAGAGGAAGCCAAAGAGAGCAAAGACGAGGGTGACGATGCTGATCATGACGAGATGAGATCCGTTACCGACCATGACTGAAAGAAGCATGGGGCGCTGGGGAAGACGGAAGACCTCGCCATGGACGAGTTTCCATCCATAGTCCTCTTGTACGTCGTCTGCCAAGTCGACAGCATTGTAGCGAGAGATATCGCGAGAGATAGATCGGAGGAGGATCATGCCGACCATAAAGACAAGGAAGCCGGCAATGATAAGAGAGTTGACCAAGCTAAACCAGTGGATTTTGGGGTCGAAAACGTGGAGGTACGCGTCCCAACGAAGACCCCAAGGAATGTCGCTCTCGAGGAAAGAGACAGAGTAAGTGTAGAAGAACTCGTTGCCAGTCTCTTCATTGAGGTGGTACTGGGCGCTGTTGAAACAGTCTGGCTGCGATGACCCAGCCACCAACGAGTTGACTGACCTGGGGTAGACAAGGACACCGACGACTCGGAAGTGGTGTTCGTCACGAGCGTGGTACTGGATGTAGATGTCGTAGTGGTTGTTGAGAGCCGGGTGGGTAGGATCCGTCTCGTCATCACCCAGATTGAAACCCTGGGCATCCAAGAAGATCTCTCCCGTCTTGCTATCCCTCCTCATCTCACTACTGGGCAGCCCGTCGATCAAAAAGTTCAACCCGTAGTCCTCCTTTATCCTATCGTTGATAAACTTGGCGTCGTCTTTCGGTACGCTGCTCTGGCAGAGCTTCTGGCACGTAGAGTTTTCCAGCATATTGATCTGGTACGGCGACGTCAAGATACGGTCGCCAAAGAGGATAGACCCCAGGCTCTCGGGCTGCTTCTGAGGACCGCCTTCTTGCTGGCAAAAGTGGAACCGGTCGTCATAGTAGTCGTGGGATATGAGGGAGCGGAGTTTGGAGTTGAGCATGGGGGTGAGGGTGTTGACAAAGACGTCGATGTTGTCGCCATACTGATAGTCGCGCGGCGCAGTACCGGGGAGGTAGAATGCTGCGGTCGACGCCAGGAAGGGAAGTGCGGCCAGAAGGGTAGCAGCAGGCCTGAAGAGCATGGTGGGCAGCCCTCTGTTCTCTGTGGGATGCTGGATGAGAATGAGATGCAGAGAGAACAAGATTTCGGACCTCGGCGCAGCGAATGTTGTTGCAACTGAGGATGCTTACGTACACTGCCACTGCTACGTGCAATCTCGTCCCGTCGGCCTCCACCCCGCCTGCCTTCTCTTACATTCCGACTTGAAAACCATCTCGCTTGGTCTGTAAACCACCATGCCCCCTCTGCCTCTACCTCTTCGCACATTGATGCGCCCAGGCATATCCCGTGCTACCCTCGCACCTCGCTATGCCTCCTCGCGCGCCCCGCCCTCAGCACCCCCACCCACTTCCACCATCGGCCTGCGCGACTCTGCCATCCCCCATCGCACCGTCCGCCTGGCCACCCCCACCGGCCTATCACAGCCCCAGTCACTCTCCTCCATTCTTCCCACATACGACCCCTCCCATCACTCGCTCATACTCGTCTCCACCGACGGGCCACATGCCATCGTCAAGCTCGTCTCTAGAGCAGAGGAACGAGAGAAGGAGAAGGAAAGAGAAGATAAGGAGAGGGTGAAGAGGAAGATGGGGATGGAGGAGAAGGAGGTGCAGGTGTCGTGGCAGAGTGCAAAGGGCGATTTGGAGCACAAGCTTGATACAGCAAAGGGCTTGCTGGAGAAGGGCGATCGGGTGCAAGTCGTCTTTGCGAACCGGAAAAGAGGCGATCCCGTGGGCGATGCTCAAAAGAAGCAGGTCGTAGATCTGTTTGATGCTGCGTTGGGAGAAGTAGGGAAAAAGTGGAAGAATGACGACGTGAACAAGGGGCTCTGGGTTCTTTACTACAACCCCTTGGATAGTGTGAGGCAGGGCGTGGAGAAGAAGGTGTTAGACGCCGAGACAGCAAAGAGGAGGGAAAAGGAGAGTGCCAAAGAAGAAAAGCTCCAAGCTAGAAGAAAAAAGGAAGAGCGGAGACTCAAGAGGGCTGAAGAAATGGAGGAGCAGAGAATAGCAGAAGCGAGAAAGGCCGAAGAAGATTACAGGAGGAGACAAGAAGAGGCCCAGAAGCGAAAGTCGTTGAGCTTTGGCAGCTGGAGAAGATAGAAGCACAACATGGTAGCATGATACAGTCTATATCTACAGATCTAATGGCCTGCGAGTGTCCACTCATAAACCTCCCTCTTCGCATTCAACGCTCACAAGCAGACCCTTCTGGTCGCCAAGTCGAACTCTTTGTCCCTCCAGTCCGGAAAGATCTCCAAGGACAAGTGCAGTCAGTCGTCGGCCGTACTGTTGAAGCGTCAGCAAAGACATGACGAGAGGACGTAGACTTACGACGCATCCACTATCTAGGCCTTTGCTGAAAGGTTTGATATCGAGACCACGTCCAGCTGCTCACATCAGCAACAACTCCACCCGATCAACAAGGTACTCACCAGCATGACCATAAATCACAGACACCGGCGAACAATCCAGCGTCTTCCCCTTATCCTTTGCCTTCTCCGCAGCAGGCGTCCCCGGCTTCTGCCTCTTCTTCTTCTTGTCCCCTTCTTCCACAGTCTCCAACTGCACATCATCCACCTGCATCTGCTCCACCGACCACTCATACGCCTCATCCTCTGTACCCCACACTCCCGGCCCTTTACATCGCGTCATCTCCTTATTCCACACCTCGCTCCACGGTGTGCCCTTGTCCGCCTTTTTGGTGACTGTGCCTTGCTTCTTGCCTTTGGTATATACGGATCGCATGTTCATGAGGTTCCATGGTACCATATTTTGAGCGACGTAGAGCAGCTCGAGTTCTTCAGACTTGCGCGAGAGGGAGGCGTTGGAAGCGTGGACGAGGGGTTGAGAGTCGTCGGATTGGGATTTGAGAAGGTCGGAGGGGAGGAGGCCGGCGTGGACGACGAATGTGTGGAGGGAGGGGAAGTGGATGGTGAGAGGCAGAGCGACTAGGTATTCGTACGACTCTTTGCTTATAGACCTGCAACAAGTCAGCTTGAATCAGGACGCTTAGCACTGACTTACCTTGCGATCTCCCAGTGCTCTCCCTTCCACTTCCACTCCTCTGGGAACCGCTGGTCTTTCCTTCCAAGCACATGCACAAGCTCCTTATCACTCTTATCCGCCAAGTCATCCACTACCGACTGCCACTTCTCTCCCCCAACCCACTCCATCCACGTCCGCCACTGAATCACCGGGTGGTCATGATTACCCCTCACACCCTTTATATCATTCTGCCGCATCCACTGCAAGACTTCTTCGTGCTTGCTGCCTTTGGCAACAAGGTCGCCGACGTGGATGAGCGTATCGTCAGAGGGCGAGTATTTGAGTTTAGAGGTGAGCCGGAGGAGAGGGTCGTATGAGCCGTGGACGTCGCCTATAAAGATCAGGCGGTGACCTGACGAGAGGTCATAGTCGGTCCCACGTATCGTCGAGTGTTTCCTGTACTTATCAAAGTCTACATGCAGCAAGTCAGCACCTCAATCTCATGGAGAAAACCTGGACATACCAAACTTCGGCCGAGCTGAACTGTCCGCAGCTGCTTCTTCATCGCTGCTCGTAGCAGCCTCCTCAGCATCGCTCGAGTGGCTGCCATTATCCCCACCAAGCCCAAGACTCTCAGCCATAGCTTCCCCAAGCTCCACCACGCTCCCTACACCAAATACCCCCTTCAACTGTTCCTTGACAGCTTTCAGTCCCACCCCTTGCGCATCCTGATCCGGCGAGTTTGCCGCCATGAAGATGACTGACAGCAGAAAGACGGCGATGATCCCGACTGACAGAGAGCGCCGGATAGCGTGGGATGTGGGTGTCTTGTTGGAGGGCAGGGCGGAGGAAGAGACGGGGGAGGGAAGGAGTTCGTCGAGGAAAGAAGGTTTTGGGTGAAGATGCGGTCGAGAGGCGGTGGGAGCGTCGGTGTCCTGGGTATCGTATGGAGCGTCGGGCATTCCGGCTGCCCTCTGGATGGTTGTTGGAAGAGATGGATGAGATGTGGTTGTGAAATGGAGTTGAGTAAATGTTTGACAGTTTGCGCAAGCAGTCATGACCGCGAAGGTGCCTGCGGTGGTGAGCGTAATAAGCTCCGTTGGATCTCGCTTCCGCTCTCGCTGAGGTGTGGTATGCATAGTGTGTCAAGGGTTGGGTCGATGCATCTCTCTCGTCACTGCTACAGGAGAAATCGTGTACTATGATTGTATGAAGTGTACATAGACGAATGACAAGCTCTTTCACGATTACCCCCGAGGTATACGCACTCTCCCTCTCTTTGGTTCCGACTTCCAAGCAGGCGTCAGGTTGATTTGGCTTGATTGATCATACACGTCTTGGGGAGAACCCAGTCTTGAACGTCTTGCCCCCGAGATTTACATAGCGCCAATGAGGCCTACAATCTCCATGTATCCCTCTTCACCCCGAGATCACAAGTACCAGGATGTGGGTGTGGGGCCATCGCCCAACGTTGCGTTGCCCCAGATCGACAAAGTAATCAGACACCAACCAAGATACAACGTACTTGCATGATACTGAAATACTATAGGATCAATTTGAATCTCATCTATGTTGACTGCTGAATTCTGACTTGTTACAGAAGGGGCTCGATCTCCTTCTTGAGCGCTTCCGGCTTGGTGGTGGAACCGAATCGACCGACGACCTTGCCATCCTTGTTGATGAGAAACTTGGTAAAGTTCCTGTGTTGACGTTAGCAGCTGGCCTAAAGCTGAATATAAGTAGAAGACTCACCACTTGATAGCAGTAGTACCAGCCAAACCACCAACACCCTGACCAGTCTGAGTCTTGAGCCAAGCAAAGACCTCGTTCATGTTCTTGCCGTTGACCTCGGACTTCTTCATAAGCTGGAAGGTGACACCGTGGTTCAACTGCCTGTATGTCAGTGGGAAAAAGAGAGACAGGGAGGAGCGTGCTTACAGTGCAGAATGAAGCAATGTCCTCGTCAGCTCCAGGTTCTTGTCCACCGAACTCGTTACTGGGGAAACCGAGGACGACAAGACCCCTGTCGCCGTAGGTCTTGTGAAGCTCCTCAAGACCGTCATATTGGGGAGTGAAACCACTATAGATGAGTCAGAAGTGGTTGCGAGTGATACCTGGGGTGGACTTGCCACTTCGAAGCAGTGTTGACGATGAGGACGGTCTTGCCCTTCAGTGTGGACTACATCAAGAGTCAGCCATGAGCTTTGCAACCACAAGATGCCACCACCGCAGCATCCATCACTCCATGATCTACTCACAAAGTCAAAGTCACCCTTGCTTCCGGGCAAGGTAGCTTTCAGGTCGTAGAAGCTCTTGCTGGCGACTTCCTTGGGGATGGTCTCGTATCCGAGCTTGCCGGCAATTGAATCGAAGAAAGACATGGTGGTGATTTGGTGTGGGTGCAGTGGAGTGAAAGTGAGTTGAAAGGGACTCCGATGGCAGTAATATGAAACGATGTGGCGAAAGAGAAAAGCGATAACAGGCCGGCCATATATATCTGACGCAATCTTCACCACAGATATCTCGGACGGCGTTTGAACTTTTCCCTGCAAGCGGTCGCCTACGGCCAGCGCCCGCCGAGCCAAAGTTTGCCCTCCACTCCTCTGCCACGCATGTCCACACTCTGCATCGTTCCGGTGTTTGCTGCCCCATACTAGCCCCCTTCAGCCCTGCACTTGCATGCATAGGACAGCCCCAACACCTCCACCACGCAGCCATGCACACGCGAATCACGGCCCACCAGTTTGCGGGCGGCGAATGATATTCAGGCACGCACCCACAAATCAAGGCACGCGTCAAACGCCGTAAGACGGGAGATTTAGCGGCATCTTTTACCTTCGCGAGAAATCTGCAGATATACCCGAGATCTGAGGGGTTTGAACTTTGATATGTGCAGCGTGAGGGGGTCGAAGGTCGTCAAGATTAGCGATGGGGTCTCATGGATATATGAAGGTAATGAAACGGTGGTATGCTTGAGGGGCCTGGAACAGTGCAAGTCGATGTGATCCAAGTGCCTAGTACGCGCGTCAGCACGATGTGCCAGATCATGTTGAATGACCGTGTCGACCTGGGGTTATCTTCCCACCATGACTATAGACCCAATCTCATACGTTATCTTATCCGCTGTGAGGAAACAGAGTTCCAGTGGCTACGAGGACATTCTCTGCCAAAGTGACGAGACTTCCGTACATCACCGACTTTTGCGGAGTCACGCCGGGCCGTGGATGCCTCGCCCCTTATATGATCAAACAGACAGAGGAACACGGAGGTCATCTGACCATATCGATTCATTCGCCGAGCTTCTGTTCTCGGTCTCTTCATCGATCATTCTATTACAGACGAGGAGAAGGAACAAGTGTCATCATGGTTGCTACGGCGGAATCCTCCTGCGCGGCGACGATTCCCTGCCAATGCACAAATGTACATGAACTTGTATCCACAACGTCGGCCTGGTCTCGCCTTTGCCTGCAACCATTCGTTTCTCGGCGAAGTTGATATCGAGTCGGACGCATGCGAAAGCTTGGTTGGCAAAGCTGGATCGATGGTACGAGAATGCTGGTACCGATGATGATGACAGTCAGCGGAGGCCAGCACTGAAGTAGCAAAGACTGGGGTGGAAGGCACATACTTTTTCATCGTTTAAAAATACATGTCATACACTACTACATTCGCCAGTATTCCTATGGGGCAAGTTATGATGCTAATCGCAATTCCCTCTTCGCACTTGCGATTCATTCAGACCACATGTTGTTGTCCTCCAGCTTCACAAAAGACATGTACCCGTTTTCGTGATACCATTTCAAATCAGGGTCTTTCTCTAAGAGACGGGCCAGTACAGCTTCCGCATCCTTGACATGATACTCGACCACACGTTCATTCTCGGCGTTCCCCCTTGGCTGCTTGACCCATCGGTTGAGCGACTGGCTTATCCGCCAGTCAAGGCTGCCGAGATGCTTGTCTTTTGGCTCACTTGTGCAATCAAACACGTTTTTTATTATCGGCAGCTTCTTCACTCCTGTCTCTTCACGCTGCCCACATACTTTACATTCAAGGACCCTCTCGCAGTGGGGCTGCAACGTGACAGACGTCCATGTCCTTTTTGGACTAGGGGCAGAATCAGTCAACAAAAAGCTCATGATTTCGATCCCCCGGCCGACGAGCTGACTGAGCCTGTGCAGCCCAATTACGTGCTGAGCGTAAGCCGGAGTTTCGTCAAAGCGAACGATGATCTGGGTACAAGACGATCCAAGAACATTGGTGATGGAGATATCGTCGGTACCCAGGGGCATGTCGATTGAGGGCAAGTCCTCCAACTCGGTAAATGATGGCTTGGGAGGGAGCGGCTGGTGGATGTCTGGTGGCAGGTCTGGGGCACTCGAAAGCGTTCGGCGACCAGAGAAAGCGTTGAACGATGACACTGGAAACTCGAGAGCTTTGGCGTTGGGGAAGAGCACACCGATGTCTCGATGTATCGTATCATTGCTCGGCGTTTCCGGGAGCTTTCTCCCATGGGCGACTTCATTCAAATCCAACACGCACTGGAGATCCCGCACCACGAGAATTTCCACATAGTTAAGGCATTGTCGCATGATACCATCATTCTCAGGCGGATGACCGATCCTTTCCAAGAGCCCATGGGACAAGGTGCCACGCCGAAAGGCGGAAGGGGCGGCTCGCTGAAAGTGCCAGCGGGAGAGCAGCATGTATTTGCGGGGAGCATCGTGAAAGAAAAGATCGTCGAGGATGATGTATCGGAGCTCCCAGAGTGTCTTTGGCTCGGTCTTGGGAGGAGTATGGGGGAAGGACATAGTCCAGATAATACAGTGGGCTATTGAAAAAGCTGGTGGGCGCGTCAGATGTATGGCTTCGAAAGTGCGCCGCGATGGCAAGTGATGAATGAGACTGACCTTCTCTTGAAGACTCCTCAGTATATTGCTGACCTTTTAAATGTGTATTATTTGAGGAGTGGAGAACCAAGTATGTGCGGAAACAGTCCATGATGATGGTTGGGACTAGGGCTGAAAAGAGGCGAACGCGCCGCGGGAGGGAGGAGACGGATATAGCAAATGGTATTGCCGTTGTCATTTGCTGTCCTTGCGTCCCGGTGTATGTGCGTGGTCTAGAGCCTGTCTACGTGAAAGTCTCTCTTGCGCGTACCCGGAGTCATACCGTCAGCATGGCCATCGGCGCCCGAGCATCATTACTGCCGGTCATGGGCCACGCCAGCAGACGTGACTGCACTTTACTCGGTGACGCTCGGCTATGCATGGCTGGCTGAAGCGTAGACTGGCAGTGATTGCAGAAATATGATGGAAGAACAATATGCATACTGGCACGTGCAGATATCATGAGTACTACTCCTAGGTACCTTCGCTGCTCTTTGTTGAATGATCACAGGCGCACGTACGACTACGCGCTCTGCTAAATGATCTACTCCGGAATTTCCCTCCCGCGTTTATCAATTGCAGCAGTCACAGTGTAGATGTAACAGCTGGTAAAGAGAGACACTAGCATTATCATGGGGCAGGGAAAAAAGGTGTGCTTCGCGTCGGGCTGATTGATGAGAGCTAAGGACGAGGCTCACCCCACTCTCTTCATTCATATAGTTTATCATCTCCAGTATCTTCCCCAAACACCCCGGCCCACCTCAAACCCGCTCCAAAACCAAACCATCATCCTCTTCAAGAAAACCCTCTGGGAGCTCCAACACATCATCCTCGACGATCTGCTCTTCCACGAAGCGCCCCGTAAATATATGACGCTTTCCCGCGCTCATCTCGCTCGTGCTGCCCCGATGCTGTACCGTACCGTCGGGCTGGGGGAAGGGTTGATACAGCGGCTGGGGAGGAAGAACAATAAGAGTGAGGTGTTGAGGGAGTCTTTGAAGAGTACGAAGGTGATTAGGGTGGATGATGTAAAGTGTTTGGAGCGTTTGAGGGACTTGGCGTTGAAGGATAAGAAGCGTCCCGGAGCTTGCGCTTTGTCCACTTTGTCTCGAAGAAGAAAAGTGACCAATACGAAAAAGCACGTTGTTCCAGAACCCCTCTTTCCCAACGTCACCACTCTCGAATTCCCAGTATCCGCTCTCAACACCTACGCCGCCCGCGCTCTAGACCCTTCATGCGAGCAGGAAGAAGACGGTACGCCCACCAAACCATACTTTGCCTCCATGAGCCGCGATTGTCCGCATTTCACCCTCCCTCTCGGGAGCGGGCCCGGGACCGACATATCCATCCGCGATGCTCTAGGCCCGTTTTGTACCCATGTGATCGTGCGATGGGACGAAAAGCCAGCCCATGCGATCTTCACTGTATCGTACCACGACGTCAGCAGGCTTAATGGTCGAGGGGTCGAAATCCTCAGTAGTGTACGCGCTTTCTATCCGCTGGGTGGGGCGCCAGAGCAAGCTGGGAGTCGGACAGGGATATTGTTCGAAAACCCCAGCAACTGCGTCGAAAGCTGCGATACCTGTCAACTAAAACAGACGGAAGGGGAAGAGGTGAAGGTACATGTTCATCGGAAAGTCAAACACCGGGAAGAAGGTATGTCCCAGCAGAGCATGGATGATGTGGTCAAGTCGTCTATCGATAGATGGATCTCGGATCGTGAGCCCGGGGATGGGCATGTGATGGAGTATCACGTTGAAGACGCGGAGCAGCTTAGGGCGAGGTTGTTCAAGGGGGACGATAGGTATGCGGATTTGGTGAAGGATGGAAAGCTGCGTTTTGTGGAGATGGATCTCGAGGTTTATGGTAGGAGCGCGACCAGTTTCTTGCAGTCTGTTTGGATATGATAACGCGTTGGTTGAAGTTGATTGATCTGCGATTCGTGTCAACAGATATAATGCATACACGTCTCTCCATGAACATGCGCCAGCCTTGAATGAACATACACATGCCCGTAAGCTCAATAGTCCATCCACCCACCCCCGCCCTCATCATCATCCGTCAAACTCCCATCATCTCCCATAACATACCCCCCATTCCCACCGCCCCCATATCCTTCCTCCCCTCCCCCTCCCGTCCCACCCCCAGTACCAGTACCAGCACCAGATCCAGTCAAATCCAGCCCCAACCCTAGCCCTTCCCCTCCTCCGACATTCGACCGCGCTAACAACCCCTCCCCCAGCTCGGGCGCGTGCAAGTTGGACGCTGCGTCTGGGGGGCAGGGATGTTGGGGTGGGGGGAGGGAGCGGCGGGGGTAGGACCAGCCGTTTGAGGAGGGGGGGATTAGGAAGGGGAAGAGAAGGGTATATGGAGAGCTTTTTGGTTGTTAGTATAGTCACGGGAGGAAGGCAGGGAGAAGGGAAGAGGGGAGGGACTAACTATCCGCCTAGGCCGATGTTGAAGAAAAGTTCCAAGTTCCGCCGTCTGCCGAGATCATAGGGGTTCAAGTAAATCTAGTGATGATGAGCTCCTTCTTTGTAGTTCCAGGTGGAAGGCACTCACGAGACCTTCTCTCTTGGCCTTGTTTGCAAGATAATCGTTATCGTGCGATTCGATAGACGTCTCTCCTTTAGACACCATATACAAATGCCAAGCACAAAGAACGCCAACCGCAAAACCTGATCACAACGAATCAGATCTTTCTCAAAGCATCCAAAGAAGGAACTCACCGATAGCAGCAGCAAGCACCCATATCATGGTGAATGCCAATTGCGGCGAGTACGCAGGCCACTCGGCAGAATAGCGGAATGTATCAATGAAGCGTTGGAATCCCAGGGTGCAGAGGACGAGGCAGGCTAGTGAGAGCCAGGCCCTGAGGAGGGTTAGGTGGGATCGTGGGAGGAGGTAGGGGGCTTACATGAAGAGGACAAAGTGACGCTGGTTATGCAGCCCGACCTGCTCTGTATAAGCATTTCGGCGTTCAGATTGGGAAGAGAATGGACGTACGCAATTATTGATCCATGGGCAATGGTGATCCATCTGTAAAACACACCTCTTGCACACTGAGCAATGATGTGTCCTCTAAACGCCTCAAGTCAGCTCGCAGCCAAGGACGTCTCCAGCAACATAATACACGCACTTCTGGCTTGGGGCCATCACACTTTCTACACCGCTTCACCCTTCTCCCCGCTTCGCCCTGCCCCCCATTTCTAGAATACCCCGTATCCCCCGCCGCACCCTGGCTCAGAGGCAGCCTCACGCGCCGTCGAAAACCCCACCGCTCAGCTGACCAGATACTTTTGGGATCATGGATGATCCATTTGACGTTCCTATCCGGTCCGGATGCTCGTGGAGCAGGGTGGCCGGGGGGCACGTGGGTGACGAGATAGTAGTGGGTGTAGAGGTTTAGGGGAACGAGGATGAGGATGGGAGAGAGGACGAGGAGGGCGAATATGTTGAGGTCGCGGGCTACCACGTCAACTAAGAATATGTCAGCTACATTGCCTGTTATGAGGGGAGAGGCGTACAGAAGAGTATACCGCCCGAGCCGATGAGGACCCAACAGAAAAAGACAAAGAACGGTCCGGCGGCGCCTGTGATCCAGTCTGCGAATGCTTCTACGCGCTTGAAGCAGCGTATGACAGTACCCGAGAGGGAGCTGAAGACGGGCATCGTGTACCCCGGGGCAGCGAGAGTCAGCGAATTGTCAGAGAAGATAGAGAACATGGGACAACTAACGCGAGGCAGGAGCCAAATACAGCCGCGTACATAATTTGATCCCGTCCCTCTCTCCTTTTTGCAGCGTCATTTCGGCCTACAACGTCAAGAGAGCCATAGACACCATGTCGAACCCCAGCGGACCCTCCACGAGACACGTACACCCCTTCTACTGCTCCGTCTGCTCCCTCCCGACAGAGTACTGCGAGTTCGGGCCCTCCGTGTCCAAGTGCAAGACATGGCTCAAGGAGAAGGACGACGACGAGTACGAAAAGATCTGGGGAGAGGGTGCGTCTGTTCACAAAGAGAGATGATAAAACTAACGAAGACTAGGTGCTCTTGCGGCCAAGATTGGCACTCTGTCGTTGGACAAGCAGGAAAAGATTGAGGCTGATGCCGCCAAGCTCGAAAAGAAGGCTGCAAAGAAGGCTGAAGCCGAGAGCAAGAAGAAGGAGTCTACCAAGGTAAGCTATCTACAAACGATTGATCGGCGCTGACAGCAGCAGGTCATCATCAAACGATCCGAACGTACCAAGCGCAAGCACCAAACCCATATCCAAAACCTCGAACTATTCGGCGTCGACTTGAAAAAGGCCGCCAAGCAATTTGCAGGCAAGTTTGCGACGGGCAGTAGTGTGAGCAAGAATCCGCAGGGCGAGGAGGAGATTGTGATCCAGGGTGATGTGGGGGATGATATTGTGGAGATGATTCGAGCTGGGGCGGGGGCGTTGAAGGGGGTGCCGGTGGATCAGATTACGAGGGTGAGTGCTTTTTGTGGCTTCGAGATGGGGCTGACGAGTGCAGGTCGAGGTGAAGAAGAAGAAGGTGGAGGAGGATGCCCCTGTTGCTTGAGCCGACAATACTGCATGGATGTGAAATGCACCGAAAGGAGATATAAAAGCTCCCATCGCATCTCTTTCTCTTTCTCTTCTTTCATTCTCCTTCTTCCACTCCCTGTCTATCTCCCCCTCCCTCTCCCCCTGGTCCCTTGCCACCCCCACCCCGACCTGCTCACATACATCCCAGACCATCTCACTCTCACCACTCACCTCAAACTCACACCGCCACTCTCACCATGCGTTCTCACCTCGTCCTCCTAGCCTCTCTCTCTCTATCCACCTCCATCATCGCTCTGGCCGTCAACAATGCCTCCCCCAAGAACCACCTCGCAGCTCGAACGGCTTTACCAAAGATGAACATCGCCACACCTCCTCAGTATGCCGATAATTCTACCGATACGCACGGCGATGGTGATGGCGACGATGCCACCGACACCGATCTCACCCCGGATGACAGTATCCCCGAGCAAGAGGACGGTTCTGGCGAGTTGGAGAAACGTCTCTGGCTTTCGAACCCGTGGTGGGACTGGTGGAAGCCCGAGTCTACGTACGTCCCTTTCCCACACCAAGCTTCACCCAACAATATACCTACAATCCCTCCCAGCTCTTCTCTGACTCTGCCTAGCCCGTCTGTCACTCTCCCCACGCCTTGGACCCCCCAGCCCGAGCCTACTGAAGACTGCGAAGACACAGACGGCACGGACGGGGGCTTTGATTGGGTTTGGCTCAACGAAAGAGGGGAGGAAGTGAGTCGGCGGTTTGGGAGCGAGCGGGAGGCTAGGTGGTTTGATGAGCAGCTAGAGAGGTCTTTGTTTGCGGACGGTGCTTTGTGAGTCGCATATCCAGGCATTTCGGTGAGATTGGTGCTGATAAGAAGTGTGCAGTGAGAATGCGCATTTGATCCCTCGTGCCGACGAGCCACCCGCTTCTACGGCCCATCCGTCCAGCCAAACTTCTGCCCTCTCTGCCCACTCTTCTGCGCCCGCCCAAAACCACCCCACCTCTTCCCCCGCTTCTTCCTCTGCCTCCGCGCCCACTCACTCATCCGGCACCACCAGCTACTTGTACACCCACGGCTCCGCCCCCATCCAAACCAACCTCCCCGACGCTGGCAACAACAAGAGCAGCAACCCCGTCAACATTGCTGTCCTCGTCGCTTCTATCCTCCTTATCGTATTCGGTACCGGGCTTATTGGTTGTATCCTTTGGGCGCTTTGGAAGGCGCATAAGAGGAGGCAGCTTTTCGGTTCTTCTTTTTTCTCTGATGGTGGACTTGTGAGGGGTGGGGATGAAGAGCGGGTCTACCAATCTGGGACACCCATCAACAAACCTGGAGGCGATCGGGAAAAGGGCAAGCTTGCAGGGGATGAGAGTGTAGATTACAGTTATGCGGTGAATGACCTGAGCTATTGGGGGTATGGCCAAATTGCTGTGAATTCTCCTACGCCTGAGACGGGGGGTAAGAGGGGGTATGATATCCAAGCGGCGTTTGAGAGGAAGAGGAAGAGTGATGAGTTGAGGTATGTCCTTTTTCCCTTCTTTGTGGTTGAGTTTGAGTTGGAGGCTGATGGGTTGGTTTAGGGAGTCTCAGCATGCTTTTTGAGAGAGATGTTTGATTTCCGAGTATGATCGAGATAAGCTGATGGAGATACGATGAGCTTTTGAGCGACATTTCTGGCTTCTCATATACATGTGTCGAGGAGGATCGGGGAAAGGATTCGGTGAGAATGGACATATACGGTACATTGTTTTGAAACATGTCTTTTGTGACCGCTCGGTTTTGACATACGCTAGACGCTATGCATCACTTTGGACTCTATCCTCGCTTTGCGCTCAAGCAGCTTCATCGACAGATGATGTTTTGGCCTCGCAAACAGAGCATGGTGTTGCAACTCTATCTCTGGATTATACTTGCTGGTACCAGCCCAAGCATGATATATTATACAGCTCTCTGCAGTTCGTGATGGTTTCGTATCATGGGCATGAGGAAAGATCGTTACAAATGTCGGGAATAAAAGATGCTGGTGGTAGAGGAGAGATGCTGCTAGTAGTACTCTATCTCGAGCTGACATCACTCATTAGCTTGGGCAGTACCGGAAGGATGAATTGGGCTTACGAATTGCAATGCAACATCCCGAGGAGAGAGGACGTTGAGACCAGCAGGGTTGAACGTATCGTGATTAGCGTTTTCGATATACTTTTCCAGCGCTTGCAAGCTCTTTTCTCTGACCGTCAGCTACCCACCTCAACCTCCCTATCAAGGACACGGGCGGAGCACACCTTCTCGAAATGACTCTGTCTCCACCAAAGACTCGTCCACAAACTCGCTATCCCAATCAAGTTATCCAGCGCATTAGGCCATGGTTTGTACGCTTCTTGGAGCTGGGCATTGAGGGTGTTGATGAAGGATGAGAGGGCTTGGGGTGATATACGGTTGTCGAGCTCGATGGGGAATACGGTTTCGAATCTGCAATATCGTCGTTCAGCTTGTGTGGGATGAGAGGTGGGAGAGAGGTTTGAGGACTCACTGACAGACTTCACCATCCGTCCAGTCCCGTTCTATTCTGACCATCTCCTTCGGTAGGTGTTGCCCGATGACACCTGTTACAGGGGTATGGTAGTAAGACATTGGAGGGAGTGCTTGACGTGGGTATGCCGAGCGCGGTTTGCTGTATACCGTATCAGCTACCCCCATCAAGATAGATGCCCGCCCGCCGACGAGTAGAGAAAGCACTCACCCATGTCCCCCGCGCCATCCTTCCAGATCCTTCTCCAGCTTCTCATCCCACCCCCTATTCTTCTGCCTCTCGTACTCTTGCTCCCAGTCATCCACCCCTACACCAAACGCCGCAACGCCGGTACCATCACCGCCGGGCCCGTTAGCGACCGTCGTCGAGCCGATCGCAGACGGCCCTCCGCCGTGTCCATTCGCATGCGACTGTCTATTCACTGTAAAGCTCCTCCTCTGCCCTCCATTCTGATTCTCATGACTCGTTTCTCCATGGGGATGAGAGGGCTGAGAAGAAGGCTCGGGCTGGGATGTTTGGTTCGTAAGGAGAGAGGGGAGTGAAGGGAGGGGCTCTTCGTGGGCGTGTTGTTGGGGAGAAGAGAGCGGGTCTGTGGTTGCTGTTTCTGTGCCGGGTCTGGGGGGCATGGCTGGGGTCTGGGGGCATATTTTGAGTAGAGAAGAAAGAGAGAAAGAGATGGACAATTGCCGCACAGACTTGTTACTTGTGCCTCAAATCGATGCCCTGAAACCTCCACATGTGATGACCACCGGGGTTGACTCTGGGTAGACTATTTGGATGACAATAATACATGGAAAATGGGCATAGCTCCTTCACTGTATTGCACGGCCTTATCACCCCTTCCAGTCGTATACCCCAAAACAAACTCCACAAACCTTTTCATTCGCCCTGCAGGCGCAAGCGAGCATGGTGTTGACGAAGAGGGAGACGGACGCTTCGAGTACTACAGCGAAGAAGCTTATAGTCAGGCTAGTCCTATCGGACTTCTAGAGATGCCTTGCTCCGCAGACAATCACCTCCCTTTTTCCCAGCCTGCCCTTCGGGTGTTGAGGCTACCGATGTCGCCCAGGGTCAGGGCAATCCTGTCAAGGCTGGACAAGCAGTTGCTCTCAGCATGCATAGGCTGGGACGCCGAGAAAAGTTGCGCGGGGGTCTACGTCAAAATTGCAGAGTCTACTGACCCCGAGCGATAGAGCCAAGGTGTATGTGAGGCGGTTAACGAGGAGTGAAGCAGCTTTGGGGTGGAGGGCCCCACATACACCTGGTGGCTCGATCGCTCGGGGTCAGTAGACTCTGCGATCTTGACGTAGACCCCCGCGCAGCTTTTCTCGGCGTCCCACCGAGTGGCGGTTGACAGCAGCTGCACGATGGAGGGCTTGTCCAGCCTTGAGAGGACCGCCCTGACCGCAGGCGAGGCGCCTTCCCAGATCACCTTCTCCCAACTGTCAAGGCTCTCCTCGTTGAAAGCTGCCCGCCACAGGGCGTTAGGTCACTCTGAGTGGCAGATGCGGTGCCCTTTGACGAGCTTCTTCTTGAGGGGGGGGGGCATTCCTAGAGTTGTTGGGCAGCCGGAGGGAGGGCGGCGGACTGTTTGCGGGAGAAGTGACCGGGATGGGGTATGAGGAGGGGGGGGAGCTTCATGGGACCAGCCAGCGGCGGAACGGGGGTTGGAAGCGATGGGCATGCTGACTGTCTATCGTCAGCCAGTCGCCGCAGTTCATGCCATCACTCACAGGAAGGGAGGGGGATTCTCTAGCCGGCAGTCAGCAGCAAGCGCTTTGGATGACGAGATGACGAGATGCTCCAAATCGCTCCCAGAGCTCCTGCTTCTAGGGCATCGACGGTGGCTTGTGGTGCATCGGCGGGGGCTATGGTGTATCGAATGGGGACAGGGGGGCTCTAGCCAAATACTGGCTCGTGCTGAGCGACGTCGCGTCAGCTTGAACTACTTCAGCAGTGTAGTACGCGCGCGAGAACCCATTGGCGGTACCAGTACTGGGATATTCCTGCAGACATTGTTGGGGGGCGGGGCTGATATCATTGCTGATCATAAGAAAGAAAGATGAAGATGTAAAAGAAAGAAGGAAGATACAATTTCGGGGCGTAATGGCTGCTTGGAGACGGTGTGTGGACGCGGGAAGTGGAGGCAAATGTGGCAGTGGAGGCGCATAACTCAACCAGATATTACGCGTTGTCTTTCCAGGCATACAAGTACATACTAAACATGATGAGAATCACTGCCATGCATACTCTGACCCTTCTATCACCAGAGTCTCTGCCCCTCTCATACATACCCTCAAAGTTGTGTTGCGCGGATTCGCAAGTCTTTGTACGAGCTGATCGGTGAGAGTGACGTGTTTGTGCAGTGTGGACGCGGCAGAGAGGGACATGTATGTTTGGGGGGCTGGGTGGAGCTTTTACGCTGATCGGGAACGACGTTCGTCGTCTGTGGTCATTGTCAGCAGGGATTAAGAAGGGAGATGCGACGCGGGATCCTACCGGTGCAGCTCCTTTAGACTCGGACCCAGCTTGTGCCGTGCAGCCACGGTTCCCCTTGGTGATCAAGCCCATATCTACCTTCAAGGTCGAAGTCGGCGTAAAGCTGTTGCGAAGGAAGAAGTAGGTCAACTGTTTGAGTTCTTGAAGATGCGGAATGATGCGGATTGGATGTGCAATCACGAGTCAAACTGATTAAAACGATGCACCCCTGTATCTAAAAACCCATCTATCGTACCCATCTAGTACTGTCTCGGCGCACTTTCGATCGCCACCCTCAAAATTCTATTCGAAACCTCCGGATTATCCAAATACAAATGATGCCCCGCCTTGGGCACCACATGCACCTCACACTTCTCATTTCCTGCTTCCGCCAGCAGCTTTTTCGAGTCGTACCCACCTTGCACGTCCATCCAGTCATTATCGCCAAACATGAATGTGACAGGTGCGGAGATGCGGGCTATGCGGTCGAGGATGGGGATACGGGCGTACGCGCCTGGGGCGAGGATATGCGCTGGAGGGGCCAAGTTAGAATTGAGTGTGGGAAGAGGAGGATGGGGAAAGCTTACAGATGCAGAACTCGCCGCTACCTTTCATGACGCTGGTTTCGTAGATGTAGCTGTGGAGATCTCGGACGTCTTCCTCCGTTTGAGCGGCGAAACGTCTGCTGCTGTATTTGCCGACCCAGAGAGGTCCCCAGGGGCCCATACCGCGCAGGATGGAGAAGGGTGAAAGACCACGTTCCCAGCCCCATACAAAGACTACTCATAGTGTCAGCTCGAGGAAGATGAAGATGACGGAGAACAGAAAGCCACTCACACTTCATCATGTTGCGCCTCGAGAACGACTGTTCATTCCGTTCCCTGGCAGCTTTCGCTTCGCCCTTGGGCGCAAAGTTCTTCTTCTGATCACCAAGTTCCATCTCTGCAGCATCCACAGCTCCATCCAAATCTCCCGGCGTCTCCACCCTTTCCCGCGAAGACGCAGCCGACCGGACCTCGGCCGTAAGAGGATGCCTTACATACTCGGGGCCGTGGGGAATCCCAGCAGGACTAACAAGGATCAAACCCGAGACTCTCTCGGGATACCTCACAGCATAAGCGCTCGCAAGGTACCCGCCCAAACTGTGGCCAACGAGCACCATCTTGTCGACTCCTTCCGCTTCTCTCCAGCTTTCCAAGCTCGATAGGAAAAAGTGCTCGGCACGAGCGACGCGGGATGGGGTGGAAGCTGTGGATGGCGAGGCGAGGAGGGCTGGGGAAGGACGGGAAGAGAGACCCATGCCGAGCCAGTCGAGAAAAAATGCACGGCGGTCGGTTGAGGATGCTGCTGTGGCTATGGATTCCCAGTTGCGGAAGAAGAAGCTGAAGACTACATGAGCTTGGGTCGAGTCAGGGAGGATCAAGGACTTACCCAAGCGCTGCAGCGTACCCATGTAACACGACAACAGCCTCTTTCGAATTCTTATCTTTCGGGGCAGAGATTTCTAGAGTGTTGATATAGTCTACAAGCTCGCCACCTTTTTGATGTTTGTGACACTTGTGCTTGTGCTTCTTCTCGTGGGCATCAACAGACGTGGACGAAGAAGCTGGGGATGACGCCAGAGAGGCGAGTGGCGTGCGTGGGTCTGCTGGGTGAAGTGGGGCGTCCTCGGGATTGGGCGTCGGGATAAACACGTTGCGCAGCGAAGCTACAAGCCCCGTAGGAGATCCAGAACCAGATCTCTCAAGCGTGACTGTAGGAGCAGCCTGCGCCATGGCGGACTGTGATTCAGTGACAGAACTCGCTCCATGGCCCCATCCAAACCATCCCTTGCTCCCTTCGACCTTTGCCTCCTGCACTTTCGGCTCATACATTGTGAGCCTCCGAAGCAGCCGTTCTTCGGCTAGCCTCGAGTCCTTGTAGGAGCCTGAGGACCACCATGCGGATAGGGAGGCGCGAAAGTCTTTGGGAATGTCGCGCGATTGGGGGAGGGAAGTGGAGGACATGGCCGGCAGCGTGGGGAATGGCAGGCGGGCTGGGATGAGGCGCGATAAGGCAGACAGCGTGGGGTGCAGAGTGAGATTATGGATGTACAAAAGAAAGATGAGATATGAATGGATGCATGGTTTTATCTCCCTGACTCCTCGGTCCCCGGGGTGTTCTTTTCAGCCCGCCGGTCATCGTGACGCGTAACCTTGCCGGCACAGCCCGCCATCGGGCATTTTAACTCGCTCGAAGGGGGATGGCGAATGCTCGATGGTCCTCAACTGCACAGGGTTGAGGCAAGTTCAGAGATATAACTCATCCATCCATACAAACAGTGACTAACCCCTTCGAAGACCCACAAAAGTAGATAACGTAAACCCAGAATGTATAGAAATGTACAATACGACCCCGATCGCCACCAGCGGCCTACGACTGATTCGACACGATCCCCGTCGAGCCATGTCTTACAAGAACTTGCCAAACATGCCCTTTGCAGTCATCTTCGCCCCCTCCTTCAGCTACGGCCAAAATCAGCATACTTTCGGATGCAAGCCGTCTATCCACACTTACAGCCGAATTCTTCGCCTGCGACAGATACTGCCCCGCAGCCCCCGACACACTCTGCAAACTATCCCCCAACGTATCCAACATCCCATCCCTCAAATAAGCCGCATTCCTCATCTCGCTGTACACATCTTCCCTTTCTCTCACATCGTGCGCGGGACCTTTGGTTTTGATGACGGATTTGCGGGTTGGGACGGAGGTGGCCGAGGTGGGCGTGCGAGGAGCCTCTTCGATGGGGGGTTTGCCCCATGTGATGAGAGGTTTGGCTGGGGCCGGGGGTTCGCGTGGGGGTGGGGGTCTCGCTGGACCACCGACTGGACGAGTGTCAACACTTACATCTACGATCACTCAAAAAGACTTACTCAAAGCGTCAAGCTGCGGCCCCGTCAAAGCAGCTCCCCAAAGCCACCCAATCAGTCCAGTCGTGACCGGCAAAGGCTGAGGCGGTATCGCCTTCTTATGCGCGCAAGGGTCCAGCCTCGGCGGGAACGGTTTCCTAAACTGGAAGAATGTGCGAAGGTTGATATCCAGCGGTCCAGAGTACTCGATGAAATCGCCAGAGCGGTCATCGATTGAGAGACGTCCGGTGGATCGAGGT